ATTCGTCAATCCGCTTCTGTCGTTTTGGCTTTAGCTGCTGAACTAACGCGTCGTAATCAAAGGCTAAGCGCCGCGCTGCCGTTGTCGCCTGCTTCATGATCGGATCGATTCGAAGCCAAAGTGGCAGTGCTAGTAGCTTTTGCGAAAGCAATACATCCATTACAGCGCTTTAGATGGCTCTTAAAGCTCTCGATCCTTTCTTTTATTCTTCTCGGTTCAGGTATACTGTATCGCATCCGGCTGCCTGGAGGCCTCGTATTCTTGGTCACAATACTGGCAAACGTGGCACGAGCGGCCGTTCCCGCAATCAATTTCAATATTTTTAAACTCCTTCACTCGCGGGATGCCCCATACGCGGCAGGGGTTCTGTTTCAGTTCTCACGCAGATCGACAGCTTATTTGGAGAGGAGAGGGTATCTAAGACTGAGAAAGGGGAGTCCGTGCGGTGAGTGTGAATTGTGCTAAAATATAAGCATTAAGATACGTCTGTCTCCCTCGATACTAGTACTAGTACCGACCGTCGTGTACTTTTGTCAGCTCTCAACCTGGTCGGTTTAAAACCCAGATTTCGACCAGGTGGCCCATGGTGGAACTGGTTTTTTGACCTGGTTGATCCATGGTTTTTGTAAAACCAGTAAAACCAAAACCCAAAAAACAGCCAACACTGTATTAGCCCCTGCTGCCAACACACCACACCAGCCTTCCCGTCACATCCTGGAGGCCTCACCGTGATAAGTAATACTTCAGCTAGTCGAACGCTAACGCCATATCATTGGTGAATTTATTTCAATTCCGCAATATCTTAAAAATATAATATCGTATTAACTAATACTAAGTCGGATCCGGCATCAATGACGGATGATAGAGCGAAGTACACTTAGATTCACAATCTAACACTCTACCGCATTGATGAAGTCGTAGCAAGGTAGTCGAAGGGGGCCATAATAATATTATTTTCCTCTGAAGAAAATATTAGGTAATACTTTTTATATTAACTGGTCTGCCAGGTAATATTTTCACTCACCGATTTGGTGCTATCATTAACCCCTGTTTTTCCCTCGCCGAGGTTATTAAATTAAAGGATGTGGCGCTGTTTCTGACGCATTTCGACATTCTGTCTTCCCTATTCTACTACTCTCCGTCTTCACCAGGCTGCACAGGGATCGATGGCCTCGCTTATCCAGCTTCAACAAAATCTTAAGAGTAGACATGGAAGGATTCCTTACTTTTCGAGTTTAGCTAAAAGGTCACCAGAGCTTTAGCAGTTAATTATCTCTCCATATTACACTAGTGGCTTGGCAATGTTCTGTCGATATGCTCAGCTGGAAGCGCGCATATCACTTTTATTCAGTCCTGACCGAGTACAGTTAGTGTTTTAGAGAGCTAGTACCCACGGAGCACACCCCGGGCCAGACTAAGTGAGTATCACCGTTGTGTGAAGACGCCCTGTGCTACTTATACAAAAGCGGCTTGTTGAATGAATGGCAGAACAAGTGCGACGCCAGTGGTCAAGTTTATTCGATAGCTGCTGCTCTCATTACATTGTGCAAGGCGAACAACGCCTACATCGTACCAGTGGTCCTGACAAGAAGAGCAATAGTCACGACAATCCACGTTCTCAGGGACGCCGTTTAAACGCCAATAATCGCAACAACAATCCTTATAACAGCTATCGTCAGCAACATAGACAATGTCAAAACCGCGCCGGGGAAACGGCACCAACAACGGCATAGAATCTAGCAACAAAGTGTACTGCATATTCCGCCGGATCGCTTTCCATAACACCCGAGACTGCCGGGCGTTCGCCACGATAACCGACTGGAGAAGCAGCATCGCCAGGCCGGTCATAAGTGGTGGCAACAGGGAAGTCATTGCTCGGGGGAAGGGGGGGGTCAGGTAGTCGTCGCCAAGAAAAGACTCGAGTCGAGCCGCATGGTGAAAATACGGAAAGCCCAGGCGACGTGAAGTACACGCCAAGCAGAAACCCCTTATGCGCTTCCACCAGTGAGAGTCAATGGTTAAGATGGAGCACGACGTGCTTCCGGATAGCCGGTGCCCATGCAGCATCACACGGTATGACATCATGCAAACCGTAAAGGCTCAGGTTGGATAACACAAACCAACCAGTATCTCGTTTGGTCGCTGGAAGCCCCCCAAGAAACGGGGCGATTACAGTTTGCTTTCGTAGCCTCAGCTGAAGAGAGACTCTATTGTTATCCATCCCGTTGAAATTCTTGCGTCATTACGTGATGAAATAGTGGTTGGGTTAGATTTAATGACAGCTCTCGGAAAGGTGATTTCCATTGGAGTCGGCACTGCGTGTTGCGATGGTAGTGACTTTTCTAACGGAGCTAGTGGGGCCGCGACTAAGACGCCTCGCTCTGTTGCATTAGTGTGGGTAGCTGAGAATAATAGCGAGAAACTACGCGCGGCATAGAAAACAGCTTTAACCGTGTGGATCTTGTTCCAAAGCTAGCGAGTATTTAAATCTTCACTAAAACGAAATTACGTTGGTGAAGGACGCAGCACTGAGTAATAGCTTGCTTTAATTGAATAGACAGCATAATCAAGTGCGACATCGAGCTGATACTTGAAATCTGGACGGGACCTGATGATGTTGAGTAGCTTCAAGTAAACTGTTACAGACAGATTGGATCTGTCTACGATCTTTGTTGCGGTAAAACGCTTCCATCGTGCGTAGTAGAGCTCTAAACTCTCCAGCGAGCCCAGTGCGTGGGAGTTACGAATTCCCGCGTAGAATATCTGCACCGCCAAATTCACTCGAAACCGATAGATGTGGTGCTTGATGCACGATCGCCTACACCCAGCATAACGGATGATCAATTGCGCTCAAATAGTACATATTGTCTCTTAACGGACCGGCGAAGGCCACGCGAACCACATTAAACGGTCCATCCCCGTTCGGCATTGGCGTTGATTGGAGGCGTCCATAAGCTTTTTTCTACAATGCAACTTGGACTTCTTGCTTCGCATACAGAGCTGCACGTGCTTTGTCACGTCCTTCTCCACGACCGATAACCAAAACGTGGACACCGATCTGAGCTCCTTTTGCTACCGGGATATGATAAGTAGCTAAGATACAGCTCGACCAAACAGCTTCAAAGAGAGGACGGCACCACCACACCCTTCCGGAAAATGCAAACGAGCTGCTTCTAGCGGGGACCGAAGTAAAAATTCGAGGTTATGCTCGTTTGGCTCCAGTCGTGCGATAATTGCGCGGTAGCTCAGATGGTGTCGCATCATCACTGCACCAACAAAATCGTATTCTTCTTTTTACACCGCGTAAGGTACTTCCTCTATTGCATACTTCACATACTCATAGCCAAATCTTGGACGGCATCTGCCACAATATCATGAGGTAGACAGAGCGTAATTACTGGGCGTGTCCGAGCCGCTAGACGACTGGGAAACTTAAGCTAAATAAGAATATAGAATGCTCAGGCACTGGACCTTTTCATGCCGCAGCAATCGATCCGTAATTTAGGGACATCATATGAGCTCCAGGAAAATACTCCACAGAGAGACCATACTCCTCGAGCAACCTCTTCCAACGCTTGACACGAAGAGAGTTTTCTGGCGGATGCAGCAAGCTCTTGTGATCGGTGTGAATGGCCGCGGTGAAAAACAGCGTGATTCACTTTTTTTAGATTTTCTACGACGGAGAGTAGCTCCCACCCTACTAGTGCTGCGTCTCGGTGAGCGTCCGAGAGAAAGAGACCAACATACGTTTGCCTTAAATGATTAGCCTACCAATCTGACGACCACCCGTGCCGACAAATATGTGAAATGTGCGGCTATAATCTGGAAATGCGAGCCTGACATTGCGTGCTAGCGCTGCTTTATCTCCTTAAATGCTGCTGCGTTTTCGGGTGTCCATCTAAGTGGCATTTTTTATCGGGTTAAGACGTGCATAGCGTGTCGACTGGTTAAGTGACATCTCTCGATAATTTGTTTTGTGTATCGTACTGAGAGATCTGGGAAGCCATGTCATCTGCGCCAGACGACTAGCAAGCTTGCATGAAGCGTACCGTCGGCGAATTACCTTTCGTCATCGTGTATCTCGACGACGTTCTAGTCCTCTCAGAAAACGAGAATGATCATTTGGAGCACTTACGCATCCAAAATCGCTGAGCAATATCAGATGGGCAAGTGCGTGGTGATGATTTTGCACGTTTAAATGGCCCAGGTGTTCATGCCACGACTGCCTCGCTAGTCATCAGTGCTGCGCCAGGTATTGCTTTACTCACAGAGCTCACCCCATACATAGGTTAATTTAGTTTAACCCACGATGCTTCATATGTGACTTCGCATGCGCTGGAAGCCATAATCAGCACTTAGCTGTTTGTTTTTGTTAAAAAAAAACGCGGACTGAGAGATACGTACCCTCACTACGTAATTTTGAAAGCACGTGCTTCTGTAGCATAAGCGATAAAAAAACGGTAGCAAATATTTCGTCCTAAAAGCCTCTAATGGCGTTGAAGTCGCTCATTACGGAGTTTTAGAATAATTTCAGAGGTAAACATGTAAATCTTGAATGGATTGGTAAAAGTGTTTCCTTTAGGATTTTGAGAATTAGAGTTTGATTTCCAGAAATATTTGATTGACATGGTGCGTGGATCCGGCACTCGGGCTGCATGGTATCCTCTGCATGTATTTGTATCGCTGCTTGGTTTTGGTCGCCAAAGTGGTAAGCTGTCAGTATACGTTTTACCTAGTCAAATTAGTTTCTGTTAATTACTGTGGTATGAAATAAGAAAGCAGCACATTTAAGAAAAAAACCTCGGCCGAAAAATACAGCAGCTTTCTACTCCATTAATTAATCTTTATAGCTGCTCTACGTATCTCTGTGGTAGAATTTATGCGTCATTTTTTAAGTGGTCACCCTGTCAGGAACAGTTTTGATTTTTTTGTAAACTTCATGTGCATTATTCAATAAAAATACAACGTCGGCTCTCTTGAAGCGTGTGGTCGTGATGACCCTATACTGTCGTCTTGTTAAGCCAACTACGGCCCAACACCGTCGGGGATGACGAGAGGTCGGAGCTCGTTTCCGACACGGAGCATGTAGAGAACACGCTATAAGTGGACGGCCCGAAGAGTTGGTCACGCGCTGCCCTGGACGCGCTGGCGTGTAGCCCCTCCAGCATACAGGAGGCACACACCGACACCTTATGACGCACGAGCGCACTGCTCGACGATAGAAAACTCAGGCGCTTCTTAATAGAACACGGCATGCAAAGGTCACCCAGACAGATGCGGCACTTGGTGCTGAACAGGCCGCCGGCCTTCGATCGGCAGGTCACACATACGTGCCGGGGTGTCGGCAGTTTGACCGAGTCGGTTCCTAGTCGACGTTCCTCTCTCTTTTGCTGCAACATCCACGTGAGTTTCTTCATCTGGCCGCAATACGCGTAGCGCAGTGGCGCCAACATTTGAGCGGCAGTGTTTCGCATCAAGATCGAACGTGGGATAGCACCTCCAGCGTCGATTGTGCCGGAAGAGTAGTGCTCTACCGTGTCGGGACTGGTTTGCCGGAAAAAGCTACATATTGACAGCCGGCCACGTACTTTGTGTGGCCGGTCGATTGTTTGGGGGAAATGCACCGAGTGCATGAGGTGATAACCGATACGGTCTCCTCTCTGCCCAAGTTGTACCATACCCGTGGCCTCCATGTAGACGTAGTCTCTGTTCTTAACAAGGCCCGACTTGTGTAATGGTAGATCCGTCTCCATCCACTTGATGACGAGCGAGCAGAACGGGTCGTCCATTGAAGGCTCTACAATGGACGCCAGCACCGCGGCGCCGCTGACGTCGTCGACGTATGAAGATTTGATACGCATGAGCTCAAGTGACGGGTTCACGACACCGAACATGACGTCTTCGAGGTTTCCGACCAATGTGCCGGCACTGAACATGACCGGCAGCTCGCAGACAAAATACTCGGTATCGTCATCTTCGGCGTTCGTACGACTGGCCTCGGTTGAGTTGCTCGAATGCTTGCGACCCCGACGCGCCATGTCACTCTGCGATCGTTCCGCGTAGACGCGTAGAGCTTCCTTGGCCTTGACCACCTTCCAACGGCGATCGTCCACCTTGTCGAGTCCCACGGCCGAGTGTCTTAGATATTGCCGCAGATTATCGGACACGAAGGCTTGCGCCAGTGCCTCGAGTTGGGACCAGTCGCCCATAGTGAGCGCTACCTCGTCGAATGGGCTAGTAGTGAATCGCTCGTGCTTTGTCATTTTTTACCGGCACACCTATGAGATGGAGAGGTGATTCGCAAATGGTAGGACGTGCCGATCGTTGAAGGCAGTTCGGAACTCGCGTTACGTTCAAGCGCGGGCGATGCATGCTGGATAAAGCGAACTTGTCTTAGCGCTGGTCACGGTCTTTTTGTAACTCAGCAAACGCCAGTGCAGGTCACGCTGCTTCAGTTTCAACGTGTCTGTCACGCTTCCACATGGATAGGCATATCAGACGGAGACGATGTGTGCCGGACCGGCACTGCCGGTCGAGAGCTCCATTAAAATAACAATGAAGATGACGGGCATCTGCGCTATGTTAGCGTTTCATTTTGCACTGCACTTACTGGTAATTTGATTTGCAAGAGAACCAACGGACAAAATTGTGGCAAATAACAGCAATTTGCTAGTCGCGCGACAGGAGCTTACTAAAATCAAGTGTAAACTAGCTACTGAGCTTTTCGGTGAAGTTGCACTTTAGGGACCTCAGATGAGACGAAGATCAAGTACAACGTAATCGCCTGGAATGAGTATCGGATCTCCACCGAAAAGGATATGTAGGTCTGCATTGTGACAGTGCAGCGTGGCTGCAGCCTGCAGCTCCTTCGGCAGTTTTTTTGCCGCGTTGAAGTGTGTCGGCGGAACAAGCCGAGAGGCAGCGATCGCGAACAAAGATTGCTATGTGCCGTGAAGCTTCTGCTCCGAGCAGGCAGAGTAAGCGGTCCTGTACAGGCCCCCGGGTTTCCCGCGACCGACACCTCTTCTTGGCAGATTCGCAAGGACATCTAAGGTAGCTGTTGACAACTAACTAACCTCAATTCCAACTGGATAAAGAGCGTTGCACGGTGGTCAATAGGTTTCCAGTCACTTGACCGCCGGCACAAAGGACGGTTGGTAGCGAGTGCCTTTTTTTTGGCCTGTACCGGTACCCATAATCCATTGGCTGTGATAGCAATGCACTTGCGAAATAAATGGTGTTCTCTGGTCTCTTCTTCCGTGTACATGTACCTTCAGCTACTACCGCTCGTCTCGGACTCGGACGTCGCAGACGAAGTGTGTCGGTTGGCAGGGTAATTCTCTAGGATCTGTGCGCGCGCAGCTTCAGACGCGTCCGATTTGCTGACCTCCGCAAGGCAAAGCGCACAGAAAGTGACTTTCCTCTTGCTCAGCAGCATATCAGGCGTGACGAAGCTGATTTTCTTGTGGATTTTACAGCTGTGGCACACGTAGCCGAAGCAGAGCTTACATGTAGCGTCGGTCTTGCCGAAATCGCCGATCTTCCGGCCTGTGATCGAGGCCTGGCACGACACGCACTGTACCTTTTTATTGGGAGTGCCATGCAGACGGAACTCCTTGTATTTCTTCTCTAACATCCACGCGAGCTTCTTCATTTGTCCACAGTGTGCGTATTTAAGCGTCGACAAGAACGTGGTGGCCATGTTGGGGATCACGAGACGACGCACGAGACCTCCCGCGGGGTCCATGATTCCCGTGACGTAGATCTCGGTAGTGTCTTCCGCAATCTGGCGGAAAACCCCGCAAATAGACAAATTCCCGCGAATACGGTGCGGCAACTCGTGTGTTTGCGGGAAATTGATGGAATGCAACAAATGGTAGCCAATCCGCTCGCCCGTTGGCAACTCGAGAATATCTGTGGCTTCCGCGTAGATATAATCGCGGTTCTTGACCAAGCTGGTGTTGTGTAGTGGGATATCGAGCTCCATCCACTTGACCACAAGAGACTTAAACGGCTCGTTTAGTGTCGGGTCTTCCACGTTCGCCAACACTGCGGCGCCACTCAGGTCGTTGACATACGACGCCTTGATCCGCATCACCTCCAGTGTCGGGTTTACCACTCCAAACATGACATCTTCGAGCTGTCCGGGGGCCGTGCCCACACACAACAACGAAGGCAACTCCTGGCTGTCTTGGTTATTATTCGGAGCAGGTTTCTCCATATACACACGCGCTGTTTCGCGAGCCTTGACGAGCTTCCATCGCGGCGAATCGAGCTGGTGGGTAGCGTGTTTTAGGTACGACGTGTATCGTTCCAGACCGGCCTTAACGAGGGAATTGACCAAGTCGTGTAACTGAGCTTCATCCGACGGACTTAGCGGCACAGTTGGGAACGGGTTCACGACGAATCGTCCCCTCATTGTGTAGAAACGAGCAAACTCGGTGTTGTCTCGGTGGCAAGATGAATAATGAAGGAAAAAGCAGCGCCACCCGTTAGTGCTGAAGACATTTTTTTTAATTATTATTTGACCATAGTACAAAAGCCAATCAGCCCATCCTGACTGTCCCAACAACGCCTTGAAGTGCCAGAGGGATGGAACGCTGACGTTGCGCACTGTACGCCACGAAACGTTGACACTGTCCGCACTGCACCGCACTTGAGGCCGGTGATCCCTTGGATTTTTTAGGATGGAAAACTGAACACCTTGCCACGTAAGAGCAGGTCCATCTACACGTCGTTTTGTCATTTAGAGGGCCTGAAATAAAAGAGATTATTAATTATGCAGCACAGCAGCACTTTTAAAATCTCATTCTGGATTAACAAGACGTCACCCACCTCATCGATGCATCCAGGACAAATCGTCAGCTTTCAGAGTCACAACAGCAATTCCATGTCCACGAAGCGCTGCTCATCAGATCGGATATAACTTATTTGCGATCTGACCCGCTTCATGACGAAACCGAATTTTGAGAGATCTTGATGAGTCTTCAAAAACTGTTTTTCTTTATATTCACCATCATTTGAGGTTTTCGTCATTTGCCTGTTCGAAGCATACCGGAGTACTGGACATGATACCGCTGCAAGCGCTGGTCCCATGTCGACGGCGGTTGCTGCAAAGGTATGGTCCGAAATGTAGCCGGTTGGACACGTCGTGTGTTGCATGGGGCTGTGGCTTGCGTGTCACCAGTATCGACTGGGAAGGTGACGAGCGCTTTTTAAATTTGGATCAAATCTTTGAGCCTTAGAGTCCGTTTACCCTTGGTCAGTATGCTCAAAGAGGTAAGCACTGAAAGTGATCCTTTCGCCTGTCATATGCTTGCAGCCTAGTTGTTAACTGGAATAACTATCAAAAAGTATTAATTTCGCTCAAACTCGGGGGTCTACTTATAAAATCGGCCCGCAAGTAGATCGAAACCCTGCTGCTCGTGGCAATGCTTTTCAATAATACGGATGACTGCATGCCACTGGCAAACATTTGAGCATGTAAAATATTGACAGAGCTGAAGCTTGCACGAGCTTTGAAAATGAATGCGATATCCACCTTGTTGAAAATGCGATTATTTGGGATGAAGAAAAAAATTCTGCTCTGAGAACGTCAAAGTTTCTTTAGTCCGGTGTTCCAAAGTTGGAGATGACGACAAACGGTCGATTCTTTTTTACTCGGACGAGACGTCCATTAAGCGCCTATTATATGGATGTCCCGTCACCCCATACATGAGCCGCAGGCCTGTGTCAGATTCCGGTAGATGTACATGACGATATTAATAGGTACATTTTGGCAGTCATCAATCCAACGCCAAAAGATTTCCTGAGCAGCGCGTACGCTGAGTTCCTATAACGGATGGCTTTCATACTTCTAATAAGATTCACAAAATCAAGAGGACATGCATTCGCACTTTAGTGACGTCACAAATTTGGGCAAATTTGATCAGATCTACTGATAAAGAACAAATACTTTTCATGTGCAGTGGGCGAATAGTCAGTTTTGGTCCGATCTATAAAAAACAGAGGCGAGCTGCGTTGATTAACCAATTATGATTGCATTCCAGCCTGGAATTTTGGGCTTTGATCTTCACACTACTATTAGTCGAGGAATAAATAACGGTGTACAGCTCCTGGATTCCAGGAGCTGTACACCGTTATCTATTGTGGTGTGAAGATCGAAGCTTACAAAATATTGGGATTTTAAGTAACTTACTATCCTGCTGTCCATTTTTGTGAAGTCGGGTACTGTAGCCTCATGCAATTGGGGTGCCGCTATCTTCTGTTGTGTCAGGCCAAATAGTTAATTTTAGTAAAAATTAGTGTAAAGAAAGTTGAATATATATTAATTCTCGATCAAAAAGCTCCAGCATCCACCAAATAGTCCGAGATCATGCTTCGCGTGTCAACACTGTCCGATGATATGGATGACTGCATGCCTGAGTGCATGTGTCCTGCGTAAATTCTCCCGCTGGCAAGCATTTGAGCGCGAGCTACATCGACGGAGCTCATACTCGTCACCTCACTGATGCACGCCGTGCAGAACGTCACTTTCCGTTGTGACAACAGCAAGTCTGGGTCCACGAAGCTGAGCTTCCGCACGATCTTGCACGCGTGGCATACGTAGCCGAAGCAGAGCTTGCACGTGTGGTCACTCTTGCCAAAGTCTCCGAGTCTGCGACTAGTGATCGGGGTGGAGCACGTCACACAAATATTCTTCTTGTTCGGGGCTCCATGGAGCTTGGACTCTGCGTATTTCTTGTCCAACATAAACGCGAGCTTCTTCATCTGACCACAGTAGGCGTACTTTAGTGTACAAAAGAAGACACCGACCATATTGGGCACTGCAATTCTCTTGATCATATCACCACCTGGGTCCATGACGGCAGTACCGAAGAGCTCCATTGTATTAGACCCAACTTGACGCCAGAACGCCATAGCCGACATGTTACCGCGAATACGATTGGGGAGATCAGGTGTCTTGGGGAAATTTACTGAGTGCATGAGGTGGTAGGCCAGACGTTCACCGTTCCTCCACTTGATGAACCCCGTAGCATCGATGTAGACGTAGTCGCGGTTCTTAACGAGGTTTATAGAGGCGAACGGGATATCTATCTCCATCCACTTGACGATCAGAGCTTGGTAGGGCTCTTCCAGAGACGGTTCGACGATACTGTCGAGCACAGCCGCGCCGCTAAAGTCATCAACGTATGACGCCTTGACACGCATCGACTCGAGTGTGGGACTGACGAGGCCGTACATTAAGTCATCGAGCTTGCCTTCCTTGTTCCCTGCCCCAGATCAACGGTAAACCGTTTCCACTGAGATTCTCTCCGGACGAAGCGGTAACTTGACGCTCGACGTACATTTTGATACCTTGGCGCTGCTTGCAGAGTTTCCAGCGACGTGGGTTCACTCCTTTGTTCTTCTCGTCCTGGTACTTGGTGTATTTTTCAAGATTGGACATGATGAGACAGTTGGCCAGGTCTTTAAGTTGGGCATGGTCATTCTCAGTCAGAGCTAGCTCTGTGAACGGGTTCACAATGAATCGTCCTTTCATTATAGCTGTCGAGTAATCGGTGGTTGGCTTTGCAGGTGGGAAGAACGACGCGAGTCGAGAACTGACGACAGGGTATGTTTGTTTTTCGTCGGTCTTGAAGCTCGGCGACTATAATCAGGATAAGACACTGCAGTATTTTGCTGCGATAGGCTAGAAGGTGTAGGACGCAGGATAAGAAATAGCTTCGATCAACATAAGGGCTCACTTTGTCCTCAACCGTTTTATTTTCGAATTGTTATTGTTCTTATGTAGCATTTATTCTCTTTACCAGCCTGCAAAATATAATTATTAACCTACATATTTTATTTCGAAGTATCATTAATATAATTAAAAGTAATATAATTGGGGGAATCATAAGAGAATCGAGCTGGTATTACTAAAACGCTACAGCGTCTACTACATGAGCTGTAGTAAGCACTTAAGCTAAATACTACTTCAGAGTATTCCCAATTCGTTAATAGTTACACCTGAGGTCAACATTTGTTGGCAAACGCATTTCACTTCCACCTTCACATTACCACAGCTAAAAGTCAAAACTAAGGTCCTAGTCTTGAGCTAGTCACGTCTATATCTACTGTGCACTCGCGTACGAGTATTCTCCGCTGTTGTCGTCAGATGACATCGTTTGCTCGACGCTGGCATGGTTCACCTTGTGATGCTTGAGCATCATGGCCCGTGCGCAGTCCACGGAGCTCACACTCGTAGCGGAGCTGGTGCACGCCGTACAGAACGTCACCTTCCTCTGAGAGAGCAGCAGATCCGGGTCCACAAAGCTCAGCTTTCTAGAGATCTTGCATGCGTGGCACACGAAGCCGAAGCAGATCTTGCAAGTGCTGTTACTCTTGCCAAAGTCTCCCAGCTTGCGGCTAGTGATTGGTGACGAGCATGTAACGCAGATGCTCTTCTTGTTAGGTGCACCGTGCAGCTTCGAGTCGGTGTAAGCCTTCTCCAACATGAACGAGAGCTTGCGCATCTGTCCACAGTATGCGTACTTTAAGCTGGAGAGAAGCACGTTGGCCATATTGGGCACCACGAGCTTACGGATCAAGCCGGCATCGGCCGGATCCATGACGCCGGTAGCGAACATTTCCATTGTGTTGGGGCCAATCTGACGCCAGAAGGCAGTGACGGAGAGGTTGCCACGCACACGGTTCGGTAGTGTGTGAGTCTGTGGGAAGTTGACCGAGTGTAGCAAGTGGTAGCCCAGTCTCTCCCCTTTGGAGTTAGTGACGTAACCCGTGCCTTCGAGATAGACATAGTCACGGTTCTTAACCAAACTGGTCGAGTGGAACGGGATGTCAAGCTCCATCCACTTGATCACTAAAGACTGGAACGGGTCCTCTAGTGTAGGAAGCACCACGGCGTCCAGTACAGCTGCACCGCTAAAGTCGTCGACGTATGACGCCTTCATACGCATCGTCTCGAGGTCTTCACTGATAACTCCATAAAGGAGATCGTCCAGTTTGCCTTCCATGGTACCGACACAAAGGATCATGGGTAGACCAGAACCCGTCGGCTCGTTACCCGAAGCGGCAGCGGCAGCAGCAGCCTCCGGGCGTTCCGTGTACACTTTGAGCTTTTCTTTCTCCTTGAGCGGCTTCCAGTGCTGCGGATCGACTCGACGAGTTGTGCCGGACATGTACTTCATACAGAGCTGTAGGTTGGATGTGATGCATTGGTTAGCCAAGTCTTCAAGACTGGTACGGTCTGCGGGAGTCAGGTTGAGTTCTTGGAACGGGTTGATGATGAATCGGCCCTTCATCTTTGAGTGTGGAAGTGCTAGGAGCTGAGCAAGTCGAGGAATGGAGAGCGGAACGATACTCGACGTTGCGACGAGGCATAGGAGCCTGTGACTCCACAAGCCAGATTAACACACTACTATGTAGTACAGCTGGGGGTGATGGCCGAATGACATCTGATGGTGCCCAAGTTATACCGGGTAAGATCCCGTAGCACTCAAAACCAACCTCTAATCTCGACTTTATATCAAGAAACGCATCAACCCGCAGCTGGACGGCGTCTTCCTCTCCCTGTCGTCGACAGTGTCGGAACGAGTCAAGCACAAGTGCGTGACTCCAGATGGAGATGAAGTAAGTCAAGGCATCATACACCGTAATGGCCCTGCAATATGATACATGCTGTCTTGAGGTGAGGCCGGTAAGGTACAGAAGACCAATCCTGACGAGTGATCTTTTATCGTTTCAACGAGGATGATGCAACAATTCGTCGCCAACAAAGGAATAACTGGACACAGGAGCTCGAAACGCTAGTGTTTGAAGTGGTACAGGCATCGCTGAAACAACTGAGGTTCAGTACCGGCGTAATTTTATCTTATAGAAAAAAGAACACAAGAAAGCCGATCGAGAGCCCGCGGAGGAGGAGAGTTCCGTGCTGTAAGCGCCGGAAGACAGCGCTCTGTCAGCGCTAGAGTTCGTGTCGTTATGTCGCTTTCTAGCCATCAAATTAGCCCTCGCGACGTCAATTGCATTCATGCTTGTCACTTCACTAATGCACGCGGTACAGAACGTCACTTTGCGTTGCGAGAGCAGCAGATCCGGGTCTACGAAGCTCAATTTGCGGACGATCTTGCACATGTTGCACACAAGACCAAAGCACATCTTGCACGTACTGTTGCTCTTGCCAAAGTCTCCGAGTTTCCGACTAGAGATCGACGATGCGCACGTGACACAGACGTGTTTCTTGTTCGGAGCACCATGCAGCTTGGACTCTTCGTAGCGACGTTCGAGCATGAACGAGAGCTTGCGCATCTGTCCGCAATACGCGTACTTTAAACTCGACAGGAACAAACTCGCCATGTTTGATACCACGAGTCTACGCACCAAGCCAGCGTCGACAGGGTCCATGACACCGGTCGCGTACAACTCCAAGGTGTTAGGTCCGAGTTGCCTCCAGAAGGCGACGATAGAGAGGTTGCCTCGAACTCGGTTCGGTAATGAATGGGTTCGAGGGAAATTTACTGAGTGGAGTAAGTGGTAACCCAGACGTTCTCCTTTCGAGTAAGTAACGTATCCTGTGCCTTCCAGATAGACGTAGTCGCGGTTCTTAACCAGGTTTGTCGAATGGAACGGGATGTCCAGCTCCATCCACTTGATCACTAAGGATTGACACAGGCCTTCCAGTGTAGGCAACGCCACCGAGTCGAGCACTGCAGCTCCACTGAAGTCATCGACGTACTTTTGATGAAGTTTTCATCCGCATCGTCTCAAGATCTTCGCTTATCAAACCGTACATCAAGTCGTCTAGTTTGCCCTCTTTGGTGCCGACACATAAGATCATTGGTAGTCCCGAGCCTGTCGGTTCATTCCCAGCAGCGGTAGCAGCAGCTACTCCTTCCGGTCGCTCGGAATACACTTTGAGCTTCTCCTTCTCTTTGAGCGACTTCCAATGAGCTGTGTCGACTCTGCGTTTGTTGTCGAAATACTTCATACACAGCTCGAGATTGGTCGAAATACACTGGTTCGCCAACTCAACAAGGCTCGTGCGGTCGGATGTGGTCAGATGGAGTTCTAGAAACGGGTTGACAATGAATGGGCTCTTCATTGCGACGAACGAGAAATGATCTTGGTTTGTAGTGGTCGTGAGATAGTGAAGTGAGCGTGGGGCTACGTTAAGCACGTCGAAAGAGAGACGCAACAGATGACACGACGCAGCCATCTGACAAGAAATGTCTGGGTATGGCACTGTGTCTCCCCGCGATGATGTGTGGAGTTGATTGTCGACACCATCGGCATGGCTGAGATTAACGTCGTGACATCCACCAGACTCTCTGGCAGAGAGTGCTCCTTATGTCATGGATATGATAGCAAACCCTATCGATACAAATCTTTGGAGATCAAGCAGGACACTTCAACGTAAAGCTCACTTCAACATGCAGCACATACCGGAAAGCTTCAATTACTGTTTGTTCCTTAAATGTTACGGGGTATTACGGTCATTGTTACTGTGTGCAGACGACGACTGCGAGTTCGAGCTGGAGACGTCGACATTCCAAAGCAGAACGTCGTGTTCCGGCAAGGATTCCACGTCGGCATCTCGTACCGAGTGCGCGGCCACAAGCGATGCACTAAGCTCAGCAGCTGCGCGAGTGCAACGCCCACAGACTGCCATTTTCTCGGAGATTACGCCTGGTTTGTACGGCGAGATCTTGACCATCTTGTGAGCCACACGACAGCCTGCACACACCCGTGCGCAACACACACAACAGATCTTGTGGATGTCTCCTAGCGCTGCTGGTTTGACTGTTCGGTTACATAAGGAACACACTTTACAGCCTCGTTGAGACTTTACGGGAGGACTAGCGTGCTTGAGGAGATACGCCAGCTTATACATCTTGGCACATGCCAGGTTCTTTGGGATGGACATGACGATCTCGGTGACGGTGGACACGACCAGAGATTCCGGCGCTTCGCCCATAGCACACACGAAGCCACGCAGGAAGACGTCCACCTCACGCTCCGAACGTTGTCGATACAGATAGCAGTAGGACAGTTTAGCGCGTACAACGTTGAACTCCGTCAACTCGCGTACCTCCGGGAGATCTACGGAATGTTTTAAGTGGTATCCTAACGGTTGCTTCCGTCCATCGGGACCTTTGATCGTAATGAACCCCGTGGTCTCGAGGTACACGATGTCTCGCACTCGCATGACTGTCCCGACAAAGAACGGGTGAGCTTTTCTGCCCCCCGATATCTCGTGGAACGGTTGGGACGGCGTGGGTTTGACGAGCTGCGTTAGTACTGCCCAATCGACGTATCCGTCCTCGACGACGGCACTTTTGAGCTGCATACTACGACCGGTAGGGGTTCGGAGGCCGAGCATACAGTCCTCGACAGTCCCGTCCAGACTCCCCACTGCTAACATGAGGGGGACCACCTCATTGCCTCGCTGGGGGTCTCGTAGCCCCGACGCGCTTCTCCGTTCAGCCGCTGCCGCGCCGCGCTGCTTGTAAAGTGTGAACTTGTCCTGCTGGTTGAGCTTCTTCCATTGACTCGTATCAACCTGTCCACGACCTGTCGTCAAGAAGGTGTGGTAGTAGTCGCGCGTTTCGCGCACCACGCTGGTCGCGTATGCTTCCAACGCTTCAGCTTCGTCGAGAGGCAGCTCCACGGTGGGGAAGATGTTACGGGGTAACGGGAACTTCATTTGGTGTTGGTAGCCCCCCCCCCTTTTCACGATATCGGAGACTGCTTGGCTGGCTGCAAGGCCAAGTCGCGAATGACCACTAACGTGCTGCAGGTATCTGAGAGAGTAGGCACAGGACACCTGATCACAGTGACTCCCTGCGTGCACGTTGCGCGTCAGCTATCTGACCAAGGTCTTTTCTACTGGCCAGACAAGGCGGGATTCTTGTTTCTGGACCACCCGCAATTGAATTGTCACTTGGAGTTCCTAGGACGCTTACTGAAGCTCAGACTGAGCAAAGGGTTGGAATGTAAAAGATGTGAGTTGTGCAGAGCGACGAACTCGAGATCTTGAGTCTCAGTTGAAAGGAGTGTGGTGCAAATTCCTTTGCACGAATTTTATTGTCTGCGACTTGAACGCTACGTCCAAGGTGTGTGTCGAACGTGCTGAGGCTTGAGTAAACCTCCTGGCCAGTGGTAGTGATAGTGGGATGATGGCACTTTCACCGCGCGATCGACCATCGATTCGACGCGTGCTCGCGGCGCTCGAGTGCTGATAAATGAGACTATGGTAGCCTTTTGATTCTCGAAGCTGTACCAAGTCTCAAGGCAAACCTTTACGATACCCAGCGGCTAAATAATATCGACACCTTGTCTGCGCATTGTGGTTAAGTTGGTCTCTTTAGCTTTCCCAGAATAAATATATTTTGAAAATATCTTCGGAGGGTGGTATTGTGCGTCCTCAAGAATTATTCCGCTAAGATTTGCTAACTTTATCCTCGACCACTTCAACTTTGGTTCGTATCCACGCCAGCTCTCAATATAGCTCCGCTGTTGTTAATGGGCGCGTGACATGGCGGGCAGTGTCAAAGTTTCCACGCGTTGAGTTCTTCTCCCCGTATCCAAGTCCGCCATCATGACTCAGATGCATGACTATCTGGAACATGAACACCGTCAGGCTTCGTTGCCCAACGACGAGGCTGTCGAGGTTGTTGACGACAAGAATGTCGTCGTGCTCACGACCGAAGAGTTGACACCCGTAATGGACGTCTCAAGTGCCACATTAGATGACGTTCTCCACGTCTTGACGAAGAGCTCAGACTGGCAGCAACTGTACGAGGCGGTCGTGATGCTGCGCCGCTTCGTCGTACATCACAGCCAAGTGATCACGACCAAACAGAACGAAGAACTGCTACGTCCACTTGCGCTAGAATGCGACAGTCTCCGATCAGCTCCGTCCAAAAACGCTCTTTTAGCATGTGCGGAATGCTTCGAGTTTCTACCTCGATCGACTCAAGAGCGTGCGTTGCTCGGTGGGGCACGTCCCGAGATGATCGACGTGCTTCTACGTCGATCTGTATGTGAGAAGAAGTTCCTACGTGACGCGGCCTTAATCGCAGCACAGAAGCTAGCGACCCATCTTGCCGGTATACCGCTTCTAGTAGCAGTAGCCCGGTACGGCACTAACAAGAACGGCAAATTATGTGGCTCAGCTGCGAAGATCATAGCGTTGAGTCTGGAACGCTTACTACAAGACCAACCGATGCTAAACCACAAAGGCATTGAGTCCTTGAAGGCGTTGTATCGTGCTTTAGCAGCATTCCGCGAGAGCAAGGACGCGACTGCACGTACGGAGGCGACAGTAAGTTTCCAGCGGCTAGCTGCGTTACTGGGCACGAAAGCGCTCGAGAGCGGCGTGAAAGACGCTTTACCGGGTGCAGGGCAAGCTGGGGCTGTAACGCGCATCCTTAAAGACGCCTCTGCTAACACCAGCGTCACGAAACCTCGAACTCAAGTGAGGTCATTACGCGATCGTGTGCGAACGGGAACTGTAGCAATAAACTAAGGCAACTCTAATTCAAAACACTGTATTCCCTAACTGTAAAGCATCAAGGTTGTTTTGTCTCCGTCTTACTGGACGTCAGCGACGCCGATGAGGATTTCCCGGCCGAGATCGTCCGACAGCTTGTCGCCGCTGATCACGACGACACGGTCGCCGGCAGACAACCATCCCATCTTCTTGGCGTGAGCGATGGCCTCCGCGGTAGTCGGGGCACGGTCAAGGTAGTCCGGCACCACCGGGTACAGACCGCGGTGGATCTGGAGCTGACGGCCGACCTTAAGGTCGGTGGTGAAGCACATGACCGGCACAGTCGGTTTGTACTTGGCGACCTTTCGGGCCGTGTAACCGGTACGGGTGAGCACAATCAGGAGCTGCGCGTGCATCTCGTTGGCCGTCTTGACTGCCGACGACACGGCTGACTCGACGTCCGACGTGGGCGGCTCGAACTGGAACTTGGCCTGGTAGTTAGGCTTGAGTAGGAGCTGGTCGGCCTCCTTGATCACCGTGTTCATCGTGGCCACAGACTCGATCGGGTACTTGCCCTGAGCCGACTCGCCACTGAGCATGACGCAGTCCGCGCCGTCCAGCACGGCATTGCCGACATCCGACACTTCGGCACGCGTGGGGCGCGGGTTGTTCTGCATGGATTCGAGCATCTGCGTCGCCACAATAACCGGCTTTCCGACGGCGTTACAGCGGTCCACCATCATCTTCTGGTATGTCAGGACCTTCTGTGCCGGCACTTCGACACCCAAATCGCCACGGGCACACATGATGCCATCCGAGGCCTCGAGGATCTCCTCAAAGTTCTGGATACCTTCGAGGTTCTCGATCTTAGAGATGATCTTAGGGGCAATGTAACCAGGTTGGTTACCCCAGTGTTTCTTAACGCACTCTCCCACGAACGAACGGATCGAGTTCACGTCGCTGGCCTTACGGATGAACGAGGCCGCGATAAAGTCGATATCGTGCTCGACACCCCAATCCAGGTCGCGTTTGTCCTTATCAGATAGAGCAGGCAACTCGACGATCAAACCCGGGAGGTTTACACCCTTACGGTTACCGATTTCCTCGGTATTGTGGATGTGGCACGTAATCTCATCCTTACCCACTGACGTACAGGTGAGACGGATAAGGCCGTCAGATAGTAACACTGTATCGCCCACCTTAACGGTTTCGGCTAACTGCTGATACGTAACGTAGAACTTGTCGGCGGTACCCTCAAGCTCGAAAGCCGGGTCGGTCGTGAGCACCACCGACTTGCCACTCTCTAACGTGATTTTCTTGCCGTCACGCATCTTACCCGTACGGATCTCGGGTCCTTTGGTGTCGTGTAGCACGGCACGTAGGTTGAATTTGGCCTGACCCTCGGCGTGCACGCCGCGACAGGCACGAAGGTTAGTGACGCGCAGCAAGGCCTCGTCGTACTCGGCGTGTGAGAAGTTAATGCGCATGATACGCAAACCTTCGTCCGTGATCTTCTGTAGCATGTCCAGCTGCTCCGACACGGGGCCGATAGTGGCCACGATCTTGGTCATGCTGAACTTGGAGCTGCGCGGGTTCTTGTACAGCTCCGAGGCGGAGGCGAAGTTGCGCACAGAAGGCTTCACGGTACGGAGGGCAAGACGACGCAGCATGGTGATAGAGAGCGATGCAAGCTTGAAAACTCTGTGAGTGATACAAGGAAAGACAGGTTAGAGTTATTGGTGGCAGGCGTTGAAGTGATGCGTGTCTTTTTACCAAGGTGGCTGCTTGGCGTGTGGTGGTGAAGGCACTTGGTTTTGGTGCTTGGAGAATGCCTTTAGAAATGGATATCTGTGAAATTTTATTAGCCGGTATTATTTAATAGGGTGATTCAAAGTGGCGAAACAAGAATGATAATCAGCCAATCAGAGCGATTTACCTTTATGCCGTTATGTTATGTTTTCTTGACACCTAAGAACATAACAACTTTGTAAGGGTTTTCCTCCATGATGACATTTTGAAAGAGCCATCCTGTCAACTAAAGTTATGGGATGCACCTCTAAAAGATTGAAATACAGTGCAAAAAAATATTTATTTAATACTGGAATTCCTCAGTTTCCGGTAGTGAGATTTATTTAGTTCTAAAGTGCCAATAAACGGAGTTATCTTAACAAAAAAAGTGAAGTAACTTACGATTGTGGATATAAAAATATATTTTAAGGTAAAAAATGCTTTTTCCAAAATATTGCTTACTGAAATTACCTTTTTACGATAGTTGGTGCACTGTGTGCTTCTCCTAACCAATGGTTTCTTCTCCTTCAAAAGTTGCTCTTTCGTCAAACGTGTAATCATTTTCGAATCAAGATGGCAACCAACAGCCCCTTCAGCACACGGCAAATGTGTAGCTTCTACGAGCCCGTTTTAGACGCTCAGCGTCTTGCTTGGCAAAGAGGCTGAACTAACGGCTAAACAGCACAGCCTGCTCAAGGATTGCGGTGCCCGCAGCGGATCACGCCGACGAAGACGCGGTCGCAAATGCTGACCGCAGTAGCTTTGTGGATCGCGCGCTGAGAGCGCGAAAGAAACCGCGAGTCGCTGCTCAAGCCTACGGTGCTGTGCGCTTTATACCACCTACATATAATGCGGTGGAGCGCCTGCTCGGCAAGGCGCGGCACGTGCTGTCACTTTATTGTACCAAGTCGCCTGGAGATGTTGCTCTTCCTAAAACTCAACCGTCGGATTTGGGGAGCCGCAACTGTATCGAAGGTTATGAGTGCGTAAGTCAGAGCTAGATAGCTACCAAAATACAGGTTGTCATCCTGTGGTTGGATTCGCTATCGTCTAATTTGTTTTTATTTTGGTATTGTTAAAAGAAGGTGCAATACTACGGAATAGTTTATTTCACCAAAGCTTAGTGATCCACGGAATATCTGATTGCGGAGACATTGCAAAATGGCTTGGCAAAGCCATTTTCGGATGGCCTGGTCACGCCCACTAAAAGTAGGAGAATGTCAATTATCTCATGCAAATTTGAAACTCCTGAGCTCTTTTAAATACTTACTATATAACTATGTTTGTGAGCACATTGCCAACGGAGCTCAGTCCACGGAGCAGGATGATGTGCGGCGCCGTGTGCGCAAGCCGTGGCGAGAACTATGGAGGACAGGAGACGACAAATCGTATGATGAATTTCCAGGGCGTCTATCAGCTTATGTTCGGGTTACAAATTGTTGAAGGAATGATTTGCGCAGAGTTGTTAGGGCAGTACAGAACTGAATGAGGACAAAGGTAGAGAGGATTAGGCGGCCATAGTGAAGAGGAAGTCTTGAGTGTAGAAGGAGAAGACGCTTGTGGTGGACTTGGTAAAAGAAGAAGAGCATGTGGTGGACTCGGTAAAAGAAGAAGTAAGATTAATGTTTAAGAAAGTAGCGGGCTACTAACAAGAAATTAGTATGCGGCATTCAGAAACATAGTCTAGAATTGCCGCTACCATTCATAGTACTAAAATGTTCCAGACATTTTAGTACATTATTTATTAGAGTCAAAAATACCGTGTCTCTTCATTATTAGTTTATAGAGAGCACGATGGAGAGACGGTCCCTGTGACGGGCCCTAACCTCAACAGCCTCCCTGGATCGACATCAGGGAACGTCATTGGATAATATAATACACGTGTTTTGATTGGTCTACGAAAACCCTGTTAAAAATGTTCAGTCAATTTACAAAATGGCTACACGAATTCGTGTTTTATGCGTTTCTGAAGCTCCTAGAGGCCCTACAGCCAAACGGAGACCGGATTTGGACTCTACTCGCCAGGGCAGTTTTCTGGGGAGGTGGAGTCCAAATCGCCATTTGGCCACTTGTGCACCAGGTGGCATACTGAAAAATGACTCGAAAGTTCAAAACGAATTAGTTTTGACAGTGATAGGTTTTGAGAGTACACTTGTATTGAAGTTAATAGCAGTTACAACAAGTGGCCATCTTATCGGTCGTGTATGTTAACTTAGAGAAGCTCAATGCCATCAGAATCGGCCCACATGACGGACAGCCTTGAATTTAGTAGAGACGACAAACGCAGATGATGCTGAGACGGCATAAGGTCTTATTCTATGGTCCGGCGCGCGGTATAGGATCAATCAGCAGCTCGGGGGCTCATCGAGCTGATCTCGTAGTCTCACATCACAATTTACACTCTACTGTCACCGCACCAGCCACACGCACGTCAAGGACACGCACGTCAAGGCCACGACACCAACAAATTTCGGTGCTTCAACAGCCAGCTTTGGGTATTGCAACGCTTCATTCTCGCTCAGTCGGCGTCATTCAGGATACTTGTGGAGACCAGGCAGATTGGCTCGAGGCTCAGTTATTTAACGCCAGCTTTGAGGATCATGTCTCGGTCGGCGCAGGTGGCCCGGATGGACCCTACTATCGCCGTGCATCTCATTACAATGGCTGCCCCAAAGCAGTTACCTTCGATTACAATTTCTCTATATGAAATAGTACAGTTATATTTCACTAGATAGTCATCATCACATCGGAGATGCTTACTTCGACAGCCTCCCACATCGAGGAATGTGTATGATGCTCTATCTGTCGGATAGTTACCACAGGTGGCTGTTATAACAGTCCTGTACGTACATGAGCATTTACAAGAAGTAGATCTTGTTTTGATATTGATGATCTTTTTCCTTTGACTTTCATTGTCAGATTTGTCGCCTTGTGCTGTTTTGCTTTGGCAATAACTGTGCTGATTTCTTGTTTTCATTGTTATTTTGGCTACTCAGGAAAACCTTAGAGGATTAAACCTGTTCACCGTAGTGATTGTTGTTGCTATCGTTTTAGTTATACGAATTTGTAGCAGCTACTTCAGGGAAACCTTTAATTTTAAGGATCAAAACCTGTTCGCTGAATTGTTGCTGTTATCGTTTTAGCTTTACGAATTTGTAGAAGCTACCTCAGGAAAACCTTTAATTTTAAGGATCAAAACCTGTTCGCTCTGTTGTTGGCTACTCAGGAAACCTTCGAGGATACACCTGATCACCGTATTTATCTTTATATATTTTGTGTATGCGTTTTAGCTTTGTTCATTTCTTAAACTGCCATTGTTTTGCTCTTTCATATGTGTGGTTTGTTTTTTGTTTTTCCGCTGCTGAGGTCTTATAGAATTGCCTCCCAATTTCATGAAATGGTTGATATAGGTGCTGCAGTCATTTTCAATTTGTTCTGACTATTATTATTGAGAGCTTATAGTTTTCAAATATTTTTGAAGAAAGGCTACAGCTTTCAAAGCATAAAAACATCTAACAGTGTCATCGGTAGTGTACGCATCTTGTTTGCAGGCTCTCATCGTTGGGGCTATTTTTCTCCCTAGAGGCTCATGGAGTTGTTTCTCATTTCGAAGATTTTTATTTTGTTTATACTTCGCAAGTGCAAGCAATAGGTTTGTAAACTATCGATTCCATTGAAAATGAAACTAATGCAGTAAAACTATAGTTGCTTTCTGTAGACAGAGGCTTGTGTAGGCTTGTCTTAAAGTCATAAAGTATTGAAGATTTTTTCTTTATGCTGGAAATGTTTGAAACTTTTGCCGCAATAATTTTTTTTTTAAGTTTGGCGAATTGAATGAATTGTTTTGGCGTTGTTGCCTCCCAGTTTCATACATTTCTGGGCGTATTTCTTAACTTGGTTAAATACCAGACACATGTTTGTATGGACAATTGCCCATTTTTATTTTATCTCTTTCTTGTTTTTTTAAGGTATATTTTTATTTTACAGGTCCAAAATGTAGTGGATTACCTGTTCTCAACAAGCCGTAGATCTGCATTTAGTAGACTGCTGCAGCTTTGCATTAAGCGAGGTTTTAGCTGTGCCATTCCTCCTTGTAGCTCGAGATGCACATATTTAAAATGGTATTTCATTAAGTACACATATACTAGTAGTAAATACACAGCTTGTAGCTGGAATAATTTTTGCACAGCTTTATAGCTCGCAAGTGGGGCATTTGGCCTCCCAGTATGGCGTGACACTACAGCAATGCTGCTGGTGCGTGAGGGCGGTATTTAGTTCTTCGCCTTAAATATGTACTACATGTACTTGTACATCATCAAATGCATGTACGTGTATGTGTACGTGTACGTGTACGTGTATGTGTACGTGTACGCGTACATGTACGTAGAGCACAAGGCACTGTGGCCTTCTAGTACGGCTTTTCAACCAGACAGCGCTATGGCTGGTCTGGCATCATGGCCTCACAACTCGGCAATGGCCGGTGTGGCACGGAATGTATGTGTCTCGTGCGGCGCTACAGCTCCATGGCTGGCGCGGGGGTTTCATGACCTCCCAGCATGGCGAATAACTACGCATGCTGTGCTACAGCACAGTGGCTGGAGCCAAGTTGGCAACGTGGCCTCACGCGAGTTGGTGTCCGTCGGCGATTTTCTCTCCGATCTCCTTCATGAGCCTTGGGGCTTGGAAACGCATCGTCTTACCGCTTTCAGCTCGTCAGTACCCTGGCGAAGCGTTGGGCTGATAACCTGTTGAAGGAATGATTTGCGCAGAGTTGTTAGGGCAGTACAGAACTGAATGAGGACAAAGGTAGAGAGGATTAGGCGGCCATAGTGAAGAGGAAGTCTTGAGTGTAGAAGGAGAAGACGCTTGTGGTGGACTTGGTAAAAGAAGAAGAGCATGTGGTGGACTCGGTAAAAGAAGAAGTAAGATTAATGTTTAAGAAAGTAGCGGGCTACTAACAAGAAATTAGTATGCGGCATTCAGAAACATAGTCTAGAATTGCCGCTACCATTCATAGTACTAAAATGTTCCAGACATTTTAGTACATTATTTATTAGAGTCAAAAATACCGTGTCTCTTCATTATTAGTTTATAGAGAGCACGATGGAGAGACGGTCCCTGTGACGGGCCCTAACCTCAACACAAATGATCTACTTCGGTGCACAATGAATCATGTGGATCGCGAAGAGGACTTCCTAGCTGCCAATTATCACTAGGAGCTCTGCATCGTTACGAAATGCCCCCCCCCAGCAATGTGCTGCATCTGGTAAAACATGCAAATGTCGATACAAGATTCTAGCATGTGAAGAATTTGACTTTATATCTGTACTGGAGGAAGAAATACATGTAATGACTGATGATGCTCCCGAGTCTCCTGTAAATCCTAAGCTTACGGACGACATTAAATCTTATATTCTGGCTAAGCTGAATGACTCACTGTCAATTGTGCCGCAGCTTTTGCTCGCATTTCTGTGCCGGGAAGCTCAGCGGATTCGGATTCTTGGCCTAACAGCGGTGTTGAAGCACGTCTAGAGCTTTGTTAAAGGCTGAAGAAGAAAGAAGAAGCCTGACAGTATGGCTCCTGTAATCGAGATTTGTCGACAATGCATGTATGATCGGGAAGGTCGTGAGGATAGAGGCCACGATGACCTGCTTGTTCGCTGCGATGTAAAGAGCGTGAATGAACCTTCGCTTGGGTCTGTCTCTAAGGCAAACACTTTGAATTGGATTTACATGCATGGAGCTTATAGCGCGCTCTGTAGCTGTGCAGCAAAATGCACTTCTAGCCATTATGATGCACTTGGGCAGTTATCACCGCATCGTGAAGCAGAAGTATCCCGTCTTTGTGGCTGGAATATTGGATCGTAGTGGTGCTTTTCTACCTGTAGTTTACTTCTGCACATTACAGCGTCGTGAAGTGGATATAGCTTGGTGTATTGCGTTCCGAAAACGAGTCGTATACGGACTGTTTCAAGTGCAGCTTAGTTCTGACTATGTCATGATGGAAGTGGCCAAGGCCCAATACAACGCATGTGTATCGGATCTTTCACAAAGCAACATTCTAATGTGCTGGTTACATGTCACACAAAATGTGGCTAAGCACCTTCATGACCAAAAGCTATATCGAATCCAAACAGTTGATTTTTCGAAATCTTTACGATTTGCATTTCGCTATTAATAAGAAAATATGATTCTGTCGTAAGTTCTTGGAGGTGTGGCGATGAGATTTGTTCAACCTTTCGCAGGGTGGTCAATCATATAATTTCATTTTGGATTCTCGGAGGCTGTTTTCTTGTTGACAAGCTTTTCATACCCCAACCGGGTACGTAGCAGCAAACAATCCCTTAGAAACATATCACTACACGCTGAAACTCGTAAATGACAGCAAAAGAGCTAGTCATACGGAGCTGGTCACACGCCTAGACTTATCTCGAATTGCATAGGTTGCATTAACGGCTCCGTTTAATGACGAGCATAAAGTTTCGAAGCGACCTAAGGCTTCCTGTAGAAAGATGAAAAATAAGAAAACAATGATGACATCCACTGCTCATCGTTTTGGAGATCTGAACCCGTCCTTGTACAGATTGCACCGTCAGCAGAAATTCTAAGTATAACCGAGTCCGGCACCAACATTAGAGGGTAATCCACCAACTACCTCATCTGAAGTTCTAAATGAAGTCCATCGCTCTCACGGGGCGACCAGTTACACTAGCTTAATGTGGGTTGGTATACCTCAAAGAGGCTGGACCATTGATGCAGCTCATAGGTTCTATATGTTTCTAATAAGGAAGAAATGAGGAATCTGCTTTCATGTGATTAAGTCCACGCAGTTTCCCGAGTTGCCCTGTCCAGTAGTGCGGGATCCGCAGCAGCGATTTGTGACACAGAACTGTCAGAAATCGCAGAAATTGCGATAAAAGAATTCATTTGTGGACCATTAGCATTGCAGGAATCGCGAGCGGTACCAGTCGTCCTACCAGTGCCACCGCAAGAAGGGGACCAACGCATTGATCAAGGTAGTCCAAGAGAAGATTCTCCAGCGCCGCTGGACCTGCCAGTGACAGAGTATGCAGATGATAATCGTGAAAATGTTTTGGACGAATCTGAATCGCTACCGGCCTTTCCAGAGCCACCAAATCTACCAGTGATAGAGAATTCATCTGATGATGGTGAAGAGGTACTGCAAGATTGTGAAACCAGAGAGGACACGGCTGGTTCTTCACGAAATATACAGAAAGTTGCTGATGTCCGTCGGTCGAGAAGGCGAAGGAATCCTTTGTTTCGCGCTTGCGAGTCTTACGAATTAATAAAGAAGCAGAAGAAATAAGGTGGCTCGTAGGCTTCAGTACATGTAATTTGGTAAGACAAATTTACACGGATATTACACAGCCAGTATGTTGTACAAGATACGTTTCAAGTACAGCTTCTTTAGATGCACGGTAAAGGTCAGTAAAGGTTACAGGCTGTAACTTACAGACTCGTGCAGTACTGGTACCTAGAAGAACTACAAGCTGTATCTTCTGCATGCAGCTGTGATTTAAAAATTTGCTTTGTTGCAACTTACAGGAACTCTTTTAATCTCACTTTCCAAATAACCAGAGCACTTAAAAAACGTACTTCATATCACGAGTAAAAGGATATTGCTCTCGGTGGTCGGTACACTGATTCTCTGAGCAAGCCTTCACATGTGCATCAAGAATCTCGACTCAAGTTTGTTGTTACGCTGCATTCGGGTGAGGAGAAATTGTCTCTCCTAGGCATAACGGCGCACTTCCAACCTGTGCGCATGGTGGCGCTAAACGATGCGACGGGTGCAGAAAAATAAACAGAATGCTGGCTCGTCAAAGTTTGTCAACTTAAAAGAGAATTGCTATTGGCAATAACCGTACACAAGCAGCGATCCAGATGCCACACTACATCGATATGACCATTCACAACGCGTGCAACATTTCACTAATGGAAAGCAGCTCATCTGGACGAGATGAAGACAGCTGTGCGAATATGTGTCTCTCTTTTGGAGCAGCGTCGACACGACGTGATTGCGTGTGGTGTCGGAGAGGATTTCTGTATGGAGAAGTTGCTCGAATCGATGCTCAAGGCTGATAGAAACCCGTGCGACATCCATCTGCCATCCAGAAATGACGGTGGCGACACTGAGTGCTACGATATGTCATATGTATACACGTATTTAGACGCACCCAACGTACGCGAAGTGCTAGAAGTGGACTCGAAACGTGTAGGCGCGTGGCAGGAGTACAACTCGAATGCGTCGGCATCCGGCGTCGTCCATGCGCCAGTTTGACTTGCCCTGCAGTCAGGCCAAGGCTGTAGGTGTCTATGCGACTACAAGACTCGCTGAATGCGGCCGACATGGAAGCTGGGGGGGGGGAGGGGCCTGAGGAAACACGGCGATAAGGCGAGACCGTATTTCAATAAGCTGCTGAGCATTCTGATGACGTCGAGTTCTATCACTAGGGTCTGGCTGTTTGCGCTTAACGTTTTCCCTCACGAGCTCCAAACTACTGCGTAGGGCCGTAATGGCTGCAAGACATATGGCGTTCGGCCCGAATACCGTCCACGATGGCTGTAAGGGTACGGTTCGTGTCCTATTCGTCGATGGCACCTTCCTCCAACTCGTCACAAAGGTATCCTAGACACTCGAGCGTGGCCTGGATGCATCCTTCAATGACGCTCGTTACATTTTGTAGTAGAGGCTCCGACAGGGTCGGTCATACCTTCTGTAGCAGCTCGATGCTGCCGATCTTGGCCACGAGCTGGGCGCTCGTGTGGGGAGTCACAGGGTCGTTGGACTGCAGCACACCGAGGGAGCCATCCTTGATCTGGGTGCGAAGGGCTGTGTCCATGACCATCCAAGCATTGATCTTCTGCTGCTGTAGAGGGTCGTCCTTAGCGTCCAGCACGTTCTTGAGGTATTGGCTGGCGGCTTGATAGGTACTGCGTAGCAGCTGAGTAGCTACAAGTGATAGAGGCTGTGAGCACTAAACTGCCTTCGAATTATATCCTTGTTGGTTTTACGCTATTTTGTTCATATCTCTGTTATTACTTCATGGTTTGCTCTTTCGACTGGCCGTATCAGTTTCGTCTTTCAAGAACTACAAGTAGTACGTACCCGTAGAGAGCTACTTCAGTAAGATAGGCATCATAAGTCGAATGAGCTCATTCAGAAGCGTTCTCGTCGTAATGCTGGAAGTGGCCTTAGATTCTTGCTCAGTTCGATTGGCGCCTAGTTCCTCTATATAGTGCTGCCTTCCCAGGCTGACGGTTACACTACGAAAATAAAAAGTTGGTGATGACTCCTGTTTCAAAAATTGCCAATGCACCACTTATCAGCTCATAAACGCAACTTTACTGTTTAAATGTCCACTTTTGTAGCTTCTTCTCCTCATGAAAATGTTGTCCACGTTTTTCTCAAGTCTTTCCGGATTTTGAAATTTTTCAGGTTGTGTTTTTAGCACAAAAAAGTTGATCAACTTTAGCAATTTTCAGGGTTTAAGCCACAATGTATTAATACAAGGGATGCCTTAAATCTCTTTACTTTGTATTGACAGAATCAGCCGACAGCGTGACGCCTCTTGTGATACTCCAACCTGGTGATCTCAATGTCTGCTCAGAGCGATAGACAGGTTAAACAAGTCGAGAGGATCCGTCTGAGCTTTCAAATTCGAATTCACCAGCAACCAGCGCGTCGTTAAGACACGAAAAGCAAAAGATTACTTTCCTCCTCGTCGCGTTAAGAGTCGATGACTGGAACTTGGGCCTCTGTTCAATCTTGCACGAGCTGCAAACGAACCCAAAACAAAGACTGCATCTGAAATACGGTCCAAACCAGCGCCACACCCGCTTACGACACGTAATACAAGTGTGGTCCACCCGGAGAGAACTCAACTCCAGTCCGAATTTCCTCGTTTTACCACCTTTGGAATCCTGGAACGGTGATAATATCAGTTTAACAAATCGAGGTACGACTACCCGACGTACTCCGTCACTCATGGGATCCAGCATTGTCATTGCGTAAACCGACACTAACGTTTCACTGACTTGTCGGAAGAAGAAACACACCGAAAGTTTCGCACGTACTCGGTCTGGTAAGCTGTGGGTTTCTGGAATGTCCACCGAGTGCATGAAATGGTACCCCACACGTCCACCGCTAGGTAGGTACTTGATACCTGTAGCTTCGACGTAAACGTAGTCGCGGTTCTTAACGATCCCCATTGTTCGACGACGCACATCCAAGTCCATCCACTTAAGTGTGATAGACTGGACAGGGTCTTCCATAGTCGGTTCTTGGACAGTAGAAAGCAATGCAGCGCCACTGGGATCATTGGCTCGCTTGACAGTACCAGACATTAGGTCGTCGAGAGCACCGGAAATTGACCCAACGCAGAGCATTGAGTATAAATCTGGTCCAGAATCGGCTTGCTGCTTCCGTCGTTTCTCGGTATACAGTCGAATGTGGTTCTTTATCTGAACGAGTTTCCAAAATTTGGAGTCTACGCCGTCAAATTCTTGATACTGTTCGAAGTTCGCGTCGACGAGAGTGGTGGTGATGACTTGCAGCTCATCCTCATTAACAGAGGAGAGCGATATACGCTGGAATGGAGTGTTCTGCGGCATGCCCACGCTGTAAGACGAAAAGTAACTTGCATGTTCGCTCATTTACTTTTTCTCAGATACTAACAAATCTCTAGTTTCTCCCATGCGGAAAAGCTTTTCATGACGCTCCAATGACCAAACCAACCCTCGATTACTTAATAGTTTTGCCGTTCCCATTGCAGCTCGCACCGATGGTACGGTACAGTTATTGTACTTCTGCAGTAATTTTTTGGGGATTTTTTTAAGCTCTTATCTTCTTTATCTCGTTTGCCAGATCGAATGAGAATCTTGTTGACAGATCTCGGGGTTATTGCTTAGACGCAATGAAAAGGAAAACTTGGACTCGTTTCTAGCTATCAAGTCGGTTAGGCAAGAGAAGCAAATGGTGACTTTCCGTTGAGTCACTTTGCCGTTTGAAGTCGGAAGCTCCACCTTCTTTTCGATTTTACAGGCGTTGCAAACGTACTCACAGCACAACATACACATCCTGTGGTGTCTTGCAAATTTGGGCAAGCGCCACATACGCTTGGTGCAGCTGCCGCAGCTCTGGCTTGAAGTCGCCGTTTACCGAGCGTTTGTGACGATTTTTGAATGGGTTTTCTCTTGGACGTAGCCACCAGTGTCTTGACAAATCGAGGGACGAGAGCGTGTCGAGCTGGCCCACTCATTGGACTCATCATCACCATGGAACATACAGACAGGGAAGCTTTATCAACTTGACGGAAGAACGAATAGACCGAAAGATCAGAGCGCACACGTCCTGGTAAATTCAGAGCTTGAGGGATACCCACTGAGTGCATGACATGATACCCCAGAGGTTCCCCACTCGGGAGGTGTTTAATCCCAGTAGCCTCAACGTACACGTAGTCTCGATTCCTAATAAGCCTCATGGATTCATGACGGACGTCAAGCTCCATCCACTCCGCCGCGACAGACTTGAATGGGTCGTGCTATGACGGTTCCTTGACCGGGATTAACACAGCTGCCTCCTGGACGTTGAGGCTGCAAGTGCAGACATCAAGTCGTGCAGTGTACCGTGAATCGATCCGACGCCTAGTAGCGACTGTAAATCGGAAGTGAAACATTGTCGTTGCTCTTGTCGAGCGCTAAAAGCGTGGATTCCATCGGTCATCCGGACGAAATTCCACATTTTTGGGTCTATCGTCGAAAAGTTCTGATACCCGTTAAAGTTCGCGTCGAGAATTGTCGTAACAATACTCTGGAGCGCCTTTGTGTCGGTAAGGGACAACAATATTGGCTTGAATGGACAGGGCATCTTAGCAGGTGAAGTTGGGAAGTACTGGGCACTTTGGTGAATGATCTTGTGGAGACACATAACTGAGATGAAACCAAGTTAAGGATGGAGCTAATCCATTCTTTCCGATATGCCGCGTTTGTGTCGTATTAGTGCCAAATTTCAAACGAGCACAAATGCTAAGGATTACGATACGGTAAGTTTATTCTGACGCAAAGTATAATTTGGCTTCAACTGTACGCCGTACAGTGTACGGCGAGTGTGCGTAAGCTGCCTTTCCAACATGTATTATTAATGGCACTTGCTATTCAACCCGACTGGTGTGGAAGAGACAGGCTAATGGTGCCCGACAGCACCCGATCAATGCCCGACCATGCCCGACACAAATTAAGTCAGTTGAGCAATCAAGCGTCCGTATACGTATATCCGGATGTGAAGACTTTGTGGTTTGAGCGTGCAAGTACGACCGGCATCATGTCATGAGCATGAGAAACTTTATTCAGTAGAGCTCAGTGGGACTGGTAAGTGCAGAATCAATATCAACTTGTTGAAAGAGTTAACTATAGACACATATATATGTATCTGTAGCGCAGATACTGTAACTCCTTCCTACTCAGCATGCACAGACCTTGGGCACCAGCGAATACCTCAAACGCTAGCAGAACATACATACCACAATTGTATGTATCTACTTGTACCCCTAGATCGCCCATGTAGTGGTGTACTCGGTATTTCCTTGGTGCGTAGTTTGGCAGTTGCATTGCCAGCTTTTCTGCGATCGCTCGGACTCTAACGACATAGCTCGAGCTCATTGGGTCATAGATGCACACATCATTCAGATTTAAGTTCACCATTACGCTGCACCAATGCGTGTTGCTGCAGCATATAGGGATCAGAATTTTCTCGTTCGTCTTGCCCGCGAAAATTGTAGCGAAGGCTCTGGTATTGACAGGACTATCTTCATTATCAATGGAACCGATAACACCCGGATCCACAATGACGACATCATTTCGTTCTCTGAACAGCTTGGACATGACGATATTCATGGAATCGTCGCTTAGCTGTTTTTTTCCGACGAGATCTAGAATTTCTGCCTGTTTGTCAAACATAACGTTTAGCTAGAAAGTGTTGTAGTGATGGCATGATTTCGTCGACGTACCTTTGCAGACAAAAGCGGGATTGACTGCATCTTTGACAGCATATCCGTCTGTAGCACCACTTGAAACGGAGCAGGCATTGGGAGTGTGAAGTCAATGGTTTCGACCCACCTCACAGCCTTCTCGACCTGTTTTACCCACTTTATTGCCCTGTGCCACCTATTCATGATCCCAATTGTACTCGTTGAGTACGCACCAAAGCCTGAAATATCCAGCGCCACGGCACTTTCTGCTAGACCTTCGTGCTTCGACTGCAGAGCCGAAACCTTTTTCCTGCAAATGGCAATTTGTTCAGGGCGCAATATCCGCGTGATCGACTCTGCTGGTATCAAAGCGATTGTGGGTGGCAAGCTCGATATTGTCCGTGCTGTAGGTGTCTTGAACTTGAAGCCATACTCCACCATTTTGAACTTGTTCACAACTGCAGCTGACGATATGTATGTTGCATCCGAAGACAGCGCTGCATCCACGGACGCCAAGCTTAAATTCGAAGCGTACAGCTCTGAGTCTTCTTGAGCTACAATGACAGTTTTTTTACGAGCTGCCTTTTTTGATCTGACTGTCTGTCTTGGTCGTCCTCGCGATCTTGGAGGACTCGCTATCACAAATGGCGTGTCTTCCGTTGCTGGTGGTAGTGTGCTTAATTCAACGTCCCCGACTGTATCCAATTCTTCCCCGACTGTATCCAATTCTTCCCCGACTGGACCCGATTCTTCCTCGACTGGACCTGATATGCCCCCGATTGAGCCCGATTGGCCTCCGATCGAGACCGACTGGCCCGGTAAATCTGCAACCTGTGTTGTTTCGACGGAGTTGCAGCTTGTGGCATGGTCAGACTCAGAGGCAGTTGGGGATACATGACTCACATTTGCTGTATCCGCATGACGAGTAAGCAGTTCTGCCGACACGTGGTGAGTCGGCCGTGCAGTCGGATCGTGACCAGTAAGTAGTGGCGGCGACAGCGCATCATCGCGCGAGTTGCTAGTCGAACCGTGACGCTCAGATTCAGCTGGTGGTAAAATTGGCACACCGGGATTCTCGAATTTGCCTATCTTGAACCGCCCAGTCACACTTTGAAGATACTGCATCGCTTCTTTATACTGCGTCATGCCGAGTCCCGCCATGGTGTCACAAATTTGGGATGCAAATTGCAGTGCTTCACGATATTTGCGGTTCGAGTCCCACGGTCTCGCCTGTGAGGATTTCACATTTTTTACCTCAAAAGACTTTGGCTCCGCTGTGTCAGAGACGACACTTGAATTTTCAATCGCCGCACGCACAGTAGACAACAGCCACCGCCTGTTTAACAGTAGTGTGGGGATGACTGTCTCCTGACCAAGAGCCTTTTGGAGGTAGAAAACGTGTCGACAGGGTAACAATCTCGTGCACATGAATAGACAGGAGTACTTCCATTCGCGCTTAGTAACTGAATACTCGGCGCTCATCTCGTCCAGCGCGTTATCAGCTGTAGATATACTCTTGATAAAATACACGTCTGGGCACCCCTCATAAAACGTGTACGACGCAGATCCAATAGCATACGAATACTGCCTGAATATAAGTTCACAAGCATGCTCACTGACAATATTCGCCACCAGTGTCATCTCGCTGTCGTAATCAGGATGCTGGACGGTCACATTCTTGTATACTTCTGCAATGAACAATCGCTCTTGTAACGTTTGATAGTCCATGGTCGAAGCGATGCACTCATCCACTCCCATAAACGAATCCACCCACTCTATAAGCTGCTTCCAAGAGACTTCTAAGCGATTGTTGGTATTATTGCCGAGTGTGACGGTATTCTGGCGCCTATGTGCACACCAGAGCTCACGACAGCTGTTCCAATTCTTTCGAAAGTACTTCACAAAAGGATGTTCATCAATGCGTGAAGAAATATCTTCCAGTTCATGATCTGTGACTTCTACACCGACTGAGCCCGACCCCACACCGACTGAGCCCGACTCCACACCGACTACGATACCAGATCGATCATTCGCAACTGGACCGGCATAACCAATCGACGCGAGATGCACCATGTACTGGAAGCGTTTTGTCCTACTCTGCTTCTGTTTTTGCGTAGACAAGTAAGCTCACAACACCGCCAAGTTGCTCTTTCGGAGACCTCAAAAATCCATAGTCAGCTGAAGCAATCTCTTCCCGTAGGTACTTCAGCACGTGGAATTGGCAAAGTAAGACTGTCACCCCAGGAAATGCCTTTTCAAGTACGGACAGCTCTGTGAAATCCTTATCCACCAGCACACTGTGAAGTCTTGACCACGCAGGATTGTTCGCTTTGAATTCCTCTATCGCTGTCAACAGGGTTTCATAGCGCTCATTTTGAAGCAGCGCGTGCTGCACAAACTGGCCCTTGCCAAACGTATCGTGTGCCATGAATAAAAAACTTTATACTTAGACCGGTTCGTCCCGTGCGCTGCGTCAATCATCAGAACTTCAGGAAATTGGTCGAATAGTGTTCGCATGTGCTTTGTTTGCAATGTGATGCAAGTCGCAACTTTCTGCGTATCCAATAGCACACAAAACAACAAATGTTAACTTCATGAATTGACATTAGACCTGATAAAAGCATTCACTCTACCTTGCCACCAACGTCGTCTAAGAAAACCCGACCAACGTTCCCTGGCACATCACCGAATTGCTTCATCCACTTCTTAAGCCGCTTGTCAGTGCTTGAAGGCCCATCGCGTTGTTCGCGAGCCTTTAGTTTCTGGACGAGGTTTTGCACATCTTTTGGGGTGGGGTTACTGTCGGTGTGCTTCATTAGGTGGCTGATGATACCATACTTCTTGACACCTTTTTTTCGAAGTAGATTAATTGTTGTTAGCGTTGACTCGTCGAGGATAATGCGTTTCGATGGATGTGAAGAGAAAGCCAGGCTTGTCAGACGATGATTGTGCTCTAGTCGGCAACGAGTGATCCGCACAGCAAACGTCGTATTCTTTGTATCAACTACCTGGACGCAGACATTAATCTGTAGAGCATATATAACTACTGTCAGTCAGTGAACTACCCGAATGACCTCGACTGGACCCGACCAGTCCCGACTAGGCCGACATATATGTACCTGCGCCTTGCAGCCCTGTGCTCGAGTCTCTTGGCGTGGCCACTTCGTAGCTACAGACTTGTACTCCCCTGAGTGCGTACAAACGAACGTCCTCGAATACTGTTCCCACGATGCTGGTATTCTAGCTGCTTTTGACTGTGACTTGTCAATCCTGGCATTGCGCTCTGCCACGCTGGTATTAGAGCGCGCCCTGAATATCTACAAGACAGATAGCACAAAATTAGTGGGACAGCGGGGTCAGACATCCGTTCATTAAATCTTGAATGAATCTCGCATACTTGAAACGCTTGGGCTTCATACGCAGCCAGGTACTCGTCGAAGGCCTCCCACGAGGCGAACTCCACCGTGTTGGGGGGTAATGCCACCACGCGTGCGGGGGGACCACCCTCGCTAGTGCTGCTGGTTAAATCGGTTACATCCGACACACTGAAAGCCTCGGAAGACTCTCCATCACCCGAACCAGCACCGCTCGCAGCGGGTGTTGGGAGCCAGACGTCGTCCTGGGAGTCTTCTCGGGGCGGCTCAGAATCGCTGCTGTCGCTCTCGTCGATCTCGCGCGCGACAGCCCCAGTTAGCGGCCTCTTCTGGACGGCTCGGACGCGGAGATCCATTTCCCCCTTCTGCAGCCTTACGATCGTTACGCTGTTCGAAATTTAGTGGCTGTCAGGCTAAATGGTATACATGGTACACACTGTATACATCGTACGGATGGGAGCGCGTCAAAAAGTTGTAGGGGAAGGTTAACTCAGTCGGTCAATATAGTCACTCTCATTATTAATAGTAGTGCTCAGGGCTCCCGATTAATGCATAAGTATTTTAATTTTTTTAATGTACTCCATAGTGTACATAAGGGAAGAAAAATTATGCCTTCACACTTAATACTCGTTTTTGTAAAAACAGGCCATCACATATGTGGTTTCCATTAATGGCCATTATGTATGGACGGGTTTCTCAGATTCAAATGCATAATGTATGGGAGCCTCGAAATTTGAACTGCTATTAATGCCATTATCGGGAGCCCTGGTGCTGCTGAGCTGAGTGATCAAGTAGTAGTATATTTTAATAGTACGGTAGCCCTCACTGAAAGGGTTAATCTATCCACTTCGATAGCTCTCAAAAGGTTATCTCGACTGCAGACCAAGAGACTTTACCGGTGACAACCAAAGATAATTTTCGCTATCACTACACTTTCTTCGTTACCTAGTACTTGCAAAATCGATCGATGACTCGCTACTCTTTGTGCTGCTCCAACTCGGCAATCTCGTCGCCCACACCGAATGGTACATTGGTCGATGGGGCTCAGTGTCATCATCAGAATCCTCTGCAAAGGAGAATTGGGACTCATTTGCCGTCATGACGTCCGTAAGACACGAAAAGCAAATAGCGACCTTTTTCGTAGTCACTTTTAGGTCCGAAGAGACCATTTTTTGCTTCTTTTCAATCTTGCACGCGGTGCAAATGGAGCCGCAACAAACCGTGCACGTGTTGTGGCGACTCGCCAGCTTGGCTAGACGTCCAACGCGCTTGGTACAAGTGACGCAGTTGTGATCCGAATGATGAGGTTTACGCTTGTCCAGTTCCGTGTAACGTTTCCCCATAGTTTGCGCAAACTTCTTCACTTTTCCAACCGAAACAGGTTTGAACGTTGACTGTAACATTTTGATAAGACGAGGAGCCACAAATTGTCGAACACGGTCGCTCATTGGCTCCAAAATCGCCATTGAATACACTGACAACGTATTGTTCTCTTGACGGAAGAATGAGCACGTGGAGAGCTCCGAACGTACCCGTCCTGGTAGATTATGGGCTTGACGGATACCCACAGAGTGCATGACATGGTAACCTACAGGCTCGCCACTCGGCAAGTACTTGATACCTGTGGCTTCGACGAAAACATAGTCTCGATTCTGGATAAACCCCATGGATCGATGAAGTACATCCAGCTCCATCCACTTTACCACAACGGTTGCGAACGGGTCAAGTACAGTCGGTCCTTTGATTCGGAGTAGTACAGCGTCATTTGAGTCATTCGTACTCTGGTCTTTGACACCAAGTGCTGACTCCTGGACACTTTCCATTATGTTGTCCAGTGTTCCAGGAACTGATCCTAAGCATAGAAGTGACTGGAGTTCAGAGGTGCTATCCTCTACAACATTGTGAGAGTGTTGGCGTCGTGGACGGCTGCTGTAAACCTGCATTCCGTCCTTGTCTTTGATGAGTTTCCACGCGTTTGGATCCACGGCCGTGAAGTGTAAATATCTGTCGAAGTTCGCGTCCAAGATGGTTTTTACAACACTCTGAAGCTCAAATTCATCCGCCGTCGACAGCGATATAACTGAAAAAGGGCTGGCTGAAAAGATGCTTCCGGTCATGTCCACGGGTAGTTGTGACGTCCCAAATAAATTGCCGAATGAGCAGCTCTCCATTATCTAGCGTCTGTGACCGTTAGTGACGAATGATCCAGGTTACTTCAGTCCACATGCTGTTAGACTTCGTTCCGGATTACGACACCCACCATTTGTATCCATGCATCCTTTGCTTTCAGCTCATATGTGCCAATAGCATGATGTGTAAAACCGTACGTACACTAACTGTTTGTATTGGAATTGATATGCGACGCTAAAGAACCGAATCGATTGTTACTACACTCACAGTCAAGCCTCGCTTAAGTTTTTGGCATAATCTCGAGTGTCTGCAGTGTCTTTTTTTATACGGAAAGTATGGAAAATTTACATATTGGTAGGACTACATAGATAAATGATATTTTTTTATTTTTAGTTTGAGAAACTGGCTGACGGCTCATTACTCTTCGTCCCCCAACCTGGTGATCTCAGCGTCCTGACTGAATGACACATGCGCCGAAGAAGTCCCGAGCCGTTTCTTGGGTTCTTGGTTTTGGATAACTCGGAGTTTTCTGCTGTGATCACATTGCCCAGACAAGAGAAACACAGTGTGTAATCTTTGGTGGTTTCCTTCACATTCGAGGTGAAGAACTTGGGCTTTTTGTCGATCTTGCACGAGTTGCAGATATGACCCAAACATATCTTACACGTATTGTGCTGACTCGTGAGCTTGCCAAATGCCCAGACGCGCTTGGAGCAAGTGACGCACGTATAAAACGGCGTGGTCAGCTGAACCCCTTTAAAGTTGTTCAACTCAGCGTAACTCTTTCCGAGGGTATCTTTCAATCTCTTGATTCTACTGTCCTGCGTGGATGTGAACATTGACAACAGCATTTGAGCAAAGTGGGGTACGATCACTCGTCGAGCTCGTTCGTTCATCGGGTTCATCATCCACATCGCGTAGACAGAAACGGAGTTCTCTTTCTCTTGACGGAAGAAAAAACACACCGACAATTTGCCACGGATCCGTCCTGGGAGTGCTGGAGCCTGGATGATATCAACCGAGTGCATGAGATGGTAACCCACACGTCCAGTTCTTGGCAAATGTGCAGTTCCTGTCGCTTCGACGTAAGTGTAGTCGCGGTTCTTGATATAACCCATTGAGCGGCGACGAACATCTAATTCCACCCATTTAACATTTACCGAATGAAATGGGTGTTTTAAAGTGGGCTCTTGAATTTTCGCGAGTGTCGTGGCTCCGTTGATATCGTTGGCTGACGTCTTCGTTTGAGCTGGGTTAAATTGTGGAACGGCAACTCCAGACATGACTTCTTCCAGGGAACCTGGTGTTGAGCCAACACACAACATGGTTTGTAACTCTACGTCGTCGGTCAGGTTACGTTGGGTCGAAGAGTTACGTCGCTGATATCGACGCTCCGCATACATTCGCATTTGGTCTCTGCACTTGACAAGTCTCCAGGAAATTGGGTCTACATCCTTGAAACGCTGATACCGATTGAGATTCGCTGCTAAGATGGTCCTCGTCACGGCTTGGAGCTCGTCTGTATCTGCAGACGAGAGTGCAATAGGCTGGAATGGACTCATAAGAGAATTCTTTTTGAGCGGCGGATTGATAAATGCCGCTTTGATGTCGATGCGCATCGAAGCTGGGGGTGGGACACATCTTGAGTTTTGCCCATACGGAGCTAAGGAACGAGTGTATGACCAACCCAGCCGATTTACGTGCTAACAGATCGGATGCCTTTCAATCCGCTGTACATTGAATCTGGCAGTTGTACGCTCGTACGATTTCCGATAGACAAGATGCGATTGGAGCCTTTTCTGCTGCGAAGTAGTGAAGAGCTCCAAGCGTCAAGGTGGTCGTGCCGCGAATAGCTGTTACCGCTAGTAGCGGCATGACCACCAAGACGTATTGTGTTACCATGACCACTTTGCTGGAAAGTTACACTCCTAGCTGTTATGTCGGAATCGGGTGTTATTTTCTCGTCTGTCGGGTGCAATTCCGACAGCTGAAGACTCTATTATATATCCTTTTTCGTTGGTCGCTATTAATCCTTAAGAGGAATGAGTTTCGGACTGTGATGTGCGTGCTTTGCTTTATAGCCCCACACATGCCTTGAATTTGTCGATTGAGCTTTATGAATGTACTTACATTACATCCTAGAAGGAGAAAGGTCACGGTCGTGCGCTGTACCCCACGAACTAGTGCACGAGCTCGTCTCTGCGAATGGAAATTCGGACACATTTTCATCATCCGCACAAGATGAGCAAAAGATGACCCCCCGCTTGGTCATGTCGAGCTCTGGTGTCATGAAACCGAGTTCTTCCACAATTTTGCAGGAGTTGCAAACACTCTTCGAGCAAACGTTGCACGTTGCAATTCGGCCAAGTTGCCATGGACGCTTTGAACAGGTGACACACTTGTCGCGACTCATGGATGCTTGTCTTTGCAGCATCGAGTCGCGTTTCGCAAGAGTCTACGGTTCCAGCGACAATCTGATGTTGACAGAGGGTGTGCGCTTGAACGTCGACAGCAGCGTATTGACAAAATGAGGTACAACCGGCCGTTGCGCTCGATCGTCCATTGAATCCATCACTCCCAGGGTGTAGACAGACACTGACGTCTTGCTCTCTTGGCGGAAGAAGGAGCACACGGAGAGTTGAGAGCGTACACAGTAAGGAAGGTGTCGAGCCATTGGGATACCGATCGAGTGCAGGAGATGGTAACCCAGACGTTCACCGCTTAGTAACTGATGGACTCCAGTGGCTTCGACGTAAACGAAATCGTGGTTTTTGACCAGCCTGGAGCGAACATTTAACTCCATCCATTTCACTTCAACGGACTGGAAAGGGTTCACAGAGTTATTGTCGATAGGAGAGTGGCTGCGCTAAGGTCATTCACAGTAGAAGGAGGTGGGTTCACGATACGCAACATCACATCGTCCAGTGCACCCGAAGTGGAGCCAACACACAACAGTGATTGCAGCTTGGAATCGTTGGACACAGGAGAAGAATTGCCTTGGAATGCAGTGAACGACGGTCTGTACTGACGCTCGAGGTAGACTCGTGTTCGGTGCGTTGTCTTCACGAGCTTCCAGAAACTTGAGTTCACTTTACCGTTGTCCGAATCCAAGAAGCGCTCGTATCGGCACAGGTTTGCGTCGAGGATAGTTTTCACGACAAGCTGTAGCTGGGTCGTGTCCGAAGATGATAGCGATAGCTGCTCGAAGGGGCAAATATGGACACCTTCTTGTGGCATTCTGACTGAGCAAGTCAAATTGTGTCCAGGTGACACATTTGCCTTGCCAAACCGACTGATTAACGCGCACACGATCGAAAAATACGGCACAGCCACTAAGCTTGCAACAGTTGTGTGTTGGTCTATCCCGAACAGAGTTACTTGCCGTTCTTATCCCTTTTTGCACAAAAGAAATTTGAAAAACAAATGATGGCGAATTAATTTGGACTGACACAAGTTTCCTCGACAACAAAAAACACTTTCAGGTGCCAGACTTTTTTTTGCTTGAGCCACAGTATCGCAGTATTTTGTTTAGTGGTTTTGTTAAAGAATGTTACACAGCTGATGCACTCTATTTCATGCGCCAAGCGCTGTGTTTGGAGGCAACTCACTGTCAGACGCACATGGAACGAAAGTTTACTTGGCCTTGGTCTGGTTGGCAACACCAGCAATACGCGCCTTAATCTCCTCCTGGTTCCCGACGTAGTAGCCCGACAGAAGACCAATGGCGTCCTTGTGCGGGATGGGCTTGAAGTTCTCGTCCAGGTCGTACACAAGAGGAACTCCCGTGGGGATGTTAAGACCCGTGATCGTGTCCTCCGGGATGTTGTCCAGGTGCTTAACCAGCGCACGGAGCGAGTTGCCGTGAGCGGCAATCACAATCTTTTTGCCTTCCTTGATAGAAGGAATGATGGTCTGTTCCCAGTAGGGCAACACACGCTCACCGGTAGTGGCAAGCGACTCAGCGAAGGGAAGAAGCTCCTTAGGCACATCCGCGTACTTCGCATCGTTGCCCGGGTAAAACTCGCTATCAGCCTCGAGCGAAGGGGGAGGTGTGGCGTAACTACGACGCCAGATCATCACCTTCTCAATGCCGTGCTTGTCCACAGTCTCCTGCTTGTTGAGGCCCGTGAGCGCACCGTAGTGACGCTCGTTAAGGCGCCACGAGCGGGTAACGGGGATCCACATGAGGTCCGTCTCCTCCAGGATGTTCCACAGCGTCTTAATGGCACGCTTGAGCACCGACGTGTAGGCCAGATCGAACTTAAATCCTGCCTCCTTCAGCACTTTGCCGGCATCGTGCGACTCCTGTTCGCCCTTGGCAGACAGCTGCACGTCGTGCCAGCCCGTGAAGCGATTGTCCACATTCCACTGACTCTCGCCGTGGCGGATGAGAACGATTTGATACTTGGCAGCCATTTTTAGCGCGTTGTTGTCTTGGGGGAAGAAGGCAAAATGCAAACTGACAAGGATAAAGATCGCTTTGGGTTGCAAATTTGCGTGTTTTTACCGTTTAGACCAATCATGGCGCGGGATTCTGTGGAATGGCCCGGCATTTGCCAAGTTTTTTTTGCTTGCTCATTTTCAGCATAGTGAAAGCAAGGTACTTCTATTTGCGGTCCTCCGTGTCGCAAACGAGCAATCCAAGCAGCATTTTTTAGTTAGACCTGCGCTCATTGGTTGTTGCTAGCGAATCAACAGATCCCTCTGACGTGGCGCGGTTGGCAAGTGCGAATGGTAGCTTGCAACACATCGACTTCTTGCCTCCAATGAAATCAACTTTTTCCTGCGTTAACCATGGACTTAAAGTTGGCAAATGCAAGAGCCTTGACGTACACTCCGCTTTGTTGCGCTGGTGGCATGGTGTTATCCTTGACAAAATCAGTTTGCCAACCTGCTTCATGAACGGCGTAATAGAATGCAAGCGCTCGGACTCTCGGAAGAAAGTCGCCAAGAGCCAATGCTGACACAGTGCGGATACTCAGGCCATATTCAATGTCGAGACACTGAATTCATGAAAGGACCGGACATTGTGCCGACGAAGATCGCGAGTTGATAAATAGCCGTAAAGTGGACGTCACTTCATGGTCCAAGAAGATGGAGGTTTTTAGCATTTGGGGTGCTTTACCAGGGATGTACTAATGTACCCGGCCCAGTACTGCGCATGTAATATGCGAAGCACTTGATGAAGTGCTGGCGGGCTTTGTCGGAGAAGACTTCTACAGTAAGTGATGTTCGCTTTTTAGCGAAGAAACGCACCCAAGTTCGCAGGTATGAGCGTTTACTGTTGCTAAAGCACTACGTCGGTATACCAACCTATGACCAATATCGCCCGCATTCTGTGCTTTCAAAGTGGACTGTGTAGCAAAACACGGCATCGATGCCGAGCAAGAAGATGCAAGCTGGAAAAAAAACAATGAGCCGTCTATGAATGATACGTTGAAGGGGGTTCCTCATCATTCTGCCTTGCGCTCGAGTACTTAACGTTGTTAAGCCACAACGATGCCTGCATCTCGTCACAGCTTTGCAGGTTATCGAGCGCCACAGCTGCCGCATCAGTCTCAGTCAGCCAGCCACCCGCCGCGAGTCTTCGCCAGGAAGAGATGTAGATCGGGCGTTAGAACACTTGGTACCAAACTTCGTTTTAATCGCTTCCTTTAAGTCATCTACCGAGTCGCGCTCATCCATTCGCACCGAGAGCGCACTTCAGGCCTTACCAACGATCGCGCAGAAGAGCTTGATCATCTTTCCAGATTCAAGACTTTGACAGCACTTGATTGGTTAATACTTCGACGCACTTCAACTTGCCTCCACCAATCATAGACCCCATCCTACTTATGTTTCCTACACAACTAGGACTTTCCCAATTTACTGAAATCACCTTCCCGCGCTTTTTCACAATTCAATCAACCTCAAGCAAGCAACGATGGACTGGGATACCGGTCGCGTGTCGGCCGTGGGTATGGAGAGCGCGCAGGCGTCGGACGCGCGCCAGGGTGCTAGCCCAGCGGCTCTGCAGCGCCGCCTGCTGGCGTTCCTCCGCGGGTTCCGTATGGGTCCGCTGTTCTACTATCGCGAGCAGCTCCTCGCCAACGCACGACGCAACCATTGGTTTGTGACCGTGAACCTCTCGCATGTTGCCGCCTTCGACCAGGAACTGCAGGACTTGCTACTTAAGAGCCCAAAGGAACAGCTGCCGCTTTTGGAAAACGCGGCAAAGGAAATGTTGACGCAATTGCTCGTGTCCAGCCAAGAGTCGGTTGCTCCAGACTCGGCAACTTCTGGCATTTCCTCAAGCAACTTACCGGACATCCAGGCCATTCTAACCAGTGACCAAGCCCCAGTGGCACTTCGCCATGTACACTCGCAGGAGATCAACCGACTGGTGAAAGTGCCAGGTATCGTAATCAGCGCCACTCGAGTGCGGACGAAGTGCGTGTCGGCAACTTTGAAATGTCGCAACTGCGGCCACACCAAGCGAGTTGCCGTTGTCGGCATGGGAGGCGTAAGCATCCCCCGCATCTGTGATCGCAACCGCGATGAAGATAATGGCGTCACTCCGGGCGATATGTGTCCCAAAGACTCGTACGTTGTGTTGCCCGACCAAGGCCACTACGTCGACCAGCAGACACTGAAACTGCAAGAAAACCCCGAAGTGGTCCCGACTGGCGAAATGCCGCGAAACTTAGCGCTAATTGCCGATCGCCACTTGGTGGACAGAGCATCCCCCGGCACGCGAGTGTCCGTGGTCGGCATCACGTCGGTTGTCAACGCAGGAGGCAAAAACGTCGGCGCTGTTGCCATCCGCACGCTGTACGTACGCGTCGTGGGCATTGAGATCGACGAAGAAGGCGCCGGACGTGCCAAAGCAACTTTCTCCCCCTCTGAAGAGGAAAAGTTCCATGAAATGGCGCGAGATCCAAAGTTGTATGACAAACTGGCAACAAGTATTGCGCCTTCGATTTATGGCGACTACACGGTGAACATCAAAAAGGCAATTGCGTGTTTACTAGCTGGTGGGTCTAGAAAAAGATTGCCAGATGGCATGATTTTGCGTGGCGACATCAACGTGTTGCTTCTGGGAGACCCCAGTACGGCAAAATCCCAGTTTCTGAAATTTACCGAAAAGATTGCACCCGTAGGAGTGTACACGTCGGGTAAAGGCAGTAGTGCCGCCGGTCTGACCGCGTCGGTTATCCGCGATGCCAAGGGAGAATTCTACCTTGAAGGCGGCGCCATGGTCCTAGCTGACGGTGGCGTCGTGTGCATCGACGAGTTCGATAAGATGCGCGAGTCCGACCGTGTGGCAATCCACGAAGCCATGGAGCAACAAACGATTTCCATTGCCAAAGCTGGCATCACTACGATTTTAAACTCGAGAGCGAGTGTACTGGCCGCGGCAAACCCCGTGTTCGGTCGCTACGACGACATGCGCTCTGCGTCTGAGAATATTGACTTAATGAGTACAATTCTCAGTCGTTTCGACATGATCTTCATCGTCCGCGATATCCAGGATGACGCCAGAGACAGGCAAATGGCTGCACACGTGGTGCGAATGCACACGAACGCCCTGGCGTCAGCTGCGGGGAAGCCCTCAGCTAGTGAAAATACCTCGAGTGGCGGCGAGTTCGAGCCTTGGTTGCTTAAGAAATTCATCACTTACTGTCGTACTCGATGCGCGCCGAGACTGTCGGTTGGCGCAGCGCAAGCCCTTCAGGACTATTACGTGGGTGTACGCGACGACGTGCGTCGTACACAGGGCGGGGAAACGACTATCCCCGTCACTGTGCGGCAACTTGAAGCTCTGGTGCGTATTGCCGAGTCATTGGCAAAGATGCATTTGCTTAACGAAGCCACACGCGAACACGTGCAAGAAGCGATTCGCTTGTTTAGTGTGAGTACCATGAACGCCGCCAAAGACGGTGGAACGCAGGGTTTATTCGGTGGGTTCCATGAAAAAGCACAGGAAGTGGAACAGAGCATTAACCGCACGTTGCGTATCGGGACGCGTGTGGAAACCAGTGCGCTGTATAGTCGTCTGGAGGCGCAGGGCTACAACCCCAACGCTATTCAACGCGCTATCCGAGCTATGGTGCAGAAGGGCTCACTTCGGCAACTCAGCCAGTACAAGTTTGTGTCTCGCGTTAAGTAGTTGTGCAACTTTTGGAAGATTACTTCGTACAACTACTCAATAAAATAACTTTCGCGACTAAAAATTGGGAGCTTGAAGTAACGTTTACCCATTCATGTAACATTGTTGCTCACAGTGCATGTTGCTGAGACGGCCAATGAGGTAGAGAATGCAACATCTGCCTTCCTCGTAGCCACTTTATTTGCCTCCACATGTTGCCACTTTTTTTGGCCCGAGGTCTCCAATACGTGAAGCTTTAAGTGCGACATCCTCCAGTTTGTTGGCAACCATGGAAGTCCACCGAAGGATGTAATGCAACACAGCTCACTGAACGACAAACCATTCTTCAATTTTCTCTTTTGCTCATCGTTTCCAGCTCCAAAATGGCGAAGGGAAAGTTTGCAAGTCCATTTGGACGAATGGTGTTGACGCCTGCCGACATGACCGAGCTTGAAGTCGTCGCGAAGACGATCGTCGACGCCAACATGGGTCCGTATTTGCAGTATTGGGACGTAGACCACCACAAGGTGAACCCTAATTCGTGGAAGCTTATCAAGTCGAAAAACGGGATGCGGGTGTACTCAGAGCGGCAATTTAAGCGCCAAATTTCAGGTGCAAAAGCTGCAACCGACGTCGATCTCCAGTCGATTCTTTGCGTAGGAACATCTCCTGGTACACTGGACGACGTGATGCTTGGAGTCATGAGCCCAACGCTTGAGGTCACACGAGCTAAAGCTTCGTATCTGGACGATCTCAGTGGAGCTGCAGTCCTCTCCACAGTCAAAGAACCAACAACACATGACCCGTTCAAGTCGGTAGCGGTAAAGTGGATGGAACTTGATGTCCGTCGTCGCTCAATAGGTTTTGTAAAGAACCGCGACTATGTTTACGTTGAAGCCACCGGTATCAACAATCTACCGAACGGTGAGCGACTGGGGTATCACGTCATGCACTCGGTTGACATTCCTCAAGCTCACGACTTGGTAGGACGAGTTCGTGCTAAATTATCGGTGTGTTCCTTCTTCCGCCAACGCAGAGATGACAGTGTGTCAGTGTACGTTATGGCCGTGATGGATCGCATGAGTGACAAGGTTCGTCGTCTAGTCGTTCCTTGCTTCATTAAGACGCTACTGTCGACACTTAAGTACGCGTACTGTGGCGAGATGAAGAAACTATCGCAGGCTCTCAACGATCGATACACAGAATTAAAGCATGTCGGGCCTCCGAATCCGGATCACAACTGTATCACATGTATGAAACCAATGCGTGTATGGCGACTCGGAAAGATCCGTACCAACCCCAGCACGTGCAAACTCTGCTTCGGATATGTCTGCACTTCGTGCAAACTCGACAAGAAGCTGAGTTTCATGAATGCAGACCTAAAGATGACTCAACGGAAAGTCTCTTTTTGCTCGTCGTGTGTGAGCGACGCCATGGGGGTCAGTCCGTCCGAGATCCCCAAGGCCAGCGATTGCTGGAGTCATCCGACTGGCTTGCGACTCTACGACCAATCAGGTATGTGGAGCACTGTGTTAGATAATGAGTCGTCCGCAGTATCCCACGATTTCGCGAATACGAGATAAAAAAGTGTTTGATCGAAGAGCGCTTGAAGGTTACCAATGATAGAGTGTACATTCGTGCCAGCTATATAGTAACGTAGTTTACCAATTCATGGTTATCCCATTACAAATTTTTTTTACAGTGCAAGAATAGCTTTATTCTTAAAGTTCAAATCTAAGGTCGCATTTAGCTTTTAAGAAGCTTTTTTTTCTAAAAACCCTTTGTTATTTAGTAGAAAAATGATTCTTATTATTGTCACCACGAAAAGATAGAGTAATAAAACGAGTTAAATACCGTAGATTACCTTACTTTAGGAGCTCTTTAATTAAAAAAAACTGAATCGCAGACTTGTAATTTCGTTGTGACAAGAACGTTTATAAGGAAATCTGCTGTGGTTCACTATCAAGCAATGTGCCCCAGCCTGACGACACCGATGATCCCACCGAGTTGTTGCGTTGGTAGTTGACAGCCTGACTTCGCGTCTCGACATCAGGCAACTCGGGTGGGTCCTCTACAGTCGCATCAGTGACACAAGTGGGACAAAAGGTGACTTTCCGCTGCGTCATCTTGAGATCCAACGTCACGAAGCTCATCTCCTTCTCAACTCGACACGAGTTGCAGACGTGCTTGAAGCACAATTTGCATGCACTGTGGTGTCCAACAAGTTTCCCTAGACGTCCCAAGTGTTTCTTGCACGCCACGCACTTGTGATCAGGGTCCCGCGACTTGAGGGTCTTCAACTCTGCGTACCGTTCACCCAGAGCTTGCGTCAGCTTCTTCATTTCTCCATAGTGCGCATACTTAAGCGGTGACAGCATTCTCTTAACAAAACACGGTACCACCATACGACGAACACCGTCGCTCATTGGGTCCATCATCCCCATCATATAAACCGATACTGCAGACTCGGTCTCTTGTCGGAAGAAACAGCACACTGATAACTTGGCACGGACTCGTCCTTCTAGTAGATGCGCTTGAGGGAAGTCCACAGAGTGCAAGAGACGGTAGCCAAGTCGTGCACCGTTCTGCATCAGCTTCATTCCTGTAGCTTCAAGGTAAATGTAGTCGCGGTTCTTAACGATCCCCATAGAGCGACGTCGTATATCCAGCTCCATCCAATTCACCACAACAGACTGGAACGGCTCGTCTGCTGTCGGTACCTTGGCAAGTGAGAGCAGAGCAGACCCGCTGCGGTCGTCAATGAACGAAGTCTTCGTACGTGCAGCTTCGAGAGTCGGACTTAGAATGCCAAGCATGACATCGTCCAGTGTCCCTGGACTCGAGCCAACACACAGCATTGACTGTAAGTCCGGGTCTGCGCTAGTCGGTGGTGGAGACTGGAAGGCTGAGCGTCGTCGCTTCTGCCTACGCTCAGCGTAGACTTTGATTCGGTCCTTGCTCTTGATGTATTTCCACTCGTTCGAGTTGATTTTACTGTTGTCGACATCCGTGAAATGCTGGTACCTTTTCAGGTTCGCGTCGAGGATCGCCTTCGCGACAACTTCCAGCTCGTCGGTGTCTTCAGGGCCTAGTACAATACGTCGCAACGGACTCGCGACGTATTCGCCTTTCGCCATTGTTTACCGAACGAGAGAATCCACGAATGGCCTTGGAGCTCTCGGTGTATTGCCAGTAACGATAGCCAGGCAACGATGTCGCACACCTTTGGATGTGAGCTACGCTGCCATGTGGAGTGAAGGAGCGAACGTTACTTGGAGCGTTTGTGAGTTTTATACTACAGCCGGCCGATAATTGTCTCCGCTCTACGCGATCATCTGCTTCAAAGTGAAGTAGCACTCTTTGTGGACGGGAGCTGAGGCTAGAAAGGGTTAAGTACCGCTCCTGTTTCAAGCTGCACTAAAAGTCCACGAAAGGACCACCGCATCAGTCAACGCGCAAGTGCTACGGCACTGTGAAAACGTTGATGAGAGGACAAGCACAAACAATTTGTTGGTTGTGCAGTCGAGACACAATAAGGTGTCCACATTAGTGGTAGGATGATTTGAAAACTAGTTATTCAAATAAATAATATTTCGAGGTAACAAAGAAATATACGAGCAAAGCTTTTGCTTACTCTATTACTATTAAAATAAGAAGGTAACAAGACACTAAGGTTTTAGTCTTGGTCAATTTTATGATTATTTTGCGAGATATGCACCAAACATACGATTCCGGAAATGCAGCTTGGCTTTCGAGAACCGTGTCTTCGCTCACTGCCAAACATTAAATCTGTTCATACTGCAGATTTACAAAATGCACCAACTGGTGGAAAACTACATGAACACGACGTCGCATGAAGGCGTGGATTCTCTGCGTCAGAATCTGACGTACAGTGCTGGGTCGAGATCGGACCTGAGCTTTCTGTAGGACTCTTTCAATAATACACAAAGCACTTTTTTCACATTGACAGAAAGAACGTTGACATCAAGATCGGACGAATGAGTCAACGAGCTCTGACTGGTATCCTTCAAAGGCTTTTGCAACATAATGCTTGTAGCAGAAATTTTCCAGGGAGAAACATTGCTTAAGAAATGAAATCGAAAGTCATCATTTGGTTGCTACAGGTACAATAGGTATGTACATCATCGCACTCTCTAATAATAAGGGTGTATAGGGGTCAGGGGCTAATGGTAACTCCAAAATCGGTGAACTTAATATTGTGAAAATATCACCTGTAGACCAGTTAATATAAAAAATATCACCTAATATTTTCTTCTAAGACAGTATGATATTATTAAATATCAACTTAGTATTAGTTAATACTATATTATATTTTCAATAATTGCGTAATCATATTAAATGCACCAATCAGATGTCGTTAACGCTCGACTAGCTGAAGTATTACTAATCAACCCTGAGGGAGGGACAATTGTGAGAGTGACGGCAAGGTTGGCGTCGTGTGTTGGCACTGCTGAGCGCATTAATCTAGCGCCACAGGCAGCAGGTTTATTAGACGCACGATGTGGACGAGGAGATCGGTAGAGAACAAGAACAAATGTCTTGATTTCGCTCTATCAACGTTAAACAGCTGCAAGCGTTTGCACTTTTCCATCTCGATCGCCTTTGTCTGTGTCACAGTGAAATACTAGAGCAAATACTAAAGCCTACTGCTTTTCTAGAACCTGATCGAAAAAGTTATTTGGTTCCGCTCGGTTCACAGGGCAAGAAACGTACTTAAGTGGAAAAATATCATAAAATATCATGTAGTATCTAATATTTTTCAGTTCTCCGAGTTAATATTAAAATATTATGTTAACTTTTGCAATAATGAGTTAATACTAATATTTAATATCGAAAATAGTACTATTACTATCAAAAAGATCATATGATATTTGGTTACCATTAGCCCTTGATAGGGGTACTCTTGATGCTTTTTTAGGGGTAGGACGAGCGGGCAATGGGCGGACGCGACTTATACACAACACATATTTTCTGCTTGGGACGAGAACAAAAGAAAAATGCGCGTTTTCTTTGGGGACAGGGATTCATACTCGCGATAATGACTCCTCTGTCGTGTTCTCTCCAGCGTCGATCGCATTAAAGCTGCTCTAGAAGCTGCAGTGGCGCACCCCCCACCGGCGGCGGTTGGTACATTGCGTGTGTGTGAGGCAACGGAAGACGAGTGGAACGCGTTTGCTGACAGCGAGGATCCAATCGTTCGACTCAATTATCTTGAGTGGTTTCCTGACACTGGCGACATCCACATCGTCGAGTTTGCCGACGCTCCACACGATGCTTACGTTTCTGCGTTTGAAAACGTTACTTCATTTGGCGAGCTACACGTTTATCGATGGCTTAAAGGATACTTGGCCGCCAAAAATTCTCAGGGGCGACGATGGTGTTCAGACCTCAGTTATGGACCGCGTGAAACAACACCGGGCTCCGTGCTTCCGCGAGGCATTCCAATATTTGCAGACTTTCGGACGATCAAAGTTGAAGTTGGAGTCTCTCAGCAATGGGGCATGGCACAGGGCATGGGAAATACAATACCCAGTGTTATTTTGCGTGAATCACATCCGTAATAAAGACTGCAATACCTGGCAACACAATAATAATCACTGCAATAATCACAATATATTGCTATCACTTAGTCTTCGATGCAACCGAGAAGGGTGGAGCAGTTCCACATACGGCGATTAGCACGAAGAAACATGACCGTTTCAAAATTAGCTGGTAAAGTAGATGAACGTAGCGATGTAAAAACAAGCTTACACTCAGAGAAAAGTCTCTCGCACGTGTTGCTTGTCGGAGGAGCGCAGAGCAGGAGAGGACAGACGCCTGCGATGCAAGCCGCGGCTTCTTGGCTTGCCGGAGGATGGAGGTCGCCAAGTCCGCCGCAGTCGGCACTTCCTCTTGTGCGGTAGACGGAGATAAAATAAAACTGTCGACTGCATGTAATTCATCCGCGGAGAGGGGTAGGTCGTTTTGCAGCTTCACTATTGCAGACTCGAAATGGGGCGAGTGAACAATCTCAGCTGTTGGCGCTAAGTAGTTAGCCATGACAGGATACTTAGCAGCACACGCATCAAACAACAGGCGCACCTCGGCAAGCGTGCATGACTCCGCTTGGATTTTCACACACACACTGTCCAGCTCACGAAGCTTGTCCAATACACCTCTAACGCGGCGGTGCGCATGTCCACGAGGCACAAACTCTTCAACAGCCTCCACCGTCAGGATCGCATCACGGATCTTGCAATATCGGTCAATCATCTGGAATGTAGACGACCAGCGCGTAGTGGTTGCCTTAACAGGCTTGTAGTTGGTCGCCTTTGCCAGTGCAGTAGCATTTTTGACATGACGCAGCTGAATCATCAGGTTTTGAATCAGATCTATCTGAGTCTGATAATCCTGTAGAAATCGATTAAACGCGAGGTTAAAAAATCGATGACTTGCACAGCCAATGAGGGGGACGCCCATTCGTGTAGCCATACTCTGATTGGTTGCACAATTGTCCCCCACAACATAGCGCACCATCTGCAGGTTCTTCTCGTACACGCTCAGTACGGTGGATATATGACCCAGGTGGGCTTCAGCTGTCTGGCCGTCTTCCATTGGCGAAAGCGCAAGAAGGCGCTGGTGGCGCACACCATTGTAGACGTAGATCGCGTAGATGCCGAGGAAGTGAAGTGAGTGACTAGTCCAACCGTCGAACATTAAAGCAAAGGAAGTTCCCATCTCCTTTGCAATGATTGCTCCAACGGCTAGAGCCACATGACGCATGTACCGCTTCAGTATCTTGGTAGTCGTAGGCTTCATTGTAACTACAGCACGCGTAGCCTTGTTTTCCACTTCAGTGATTGGTAGATTTCTCTCGATCACCCATACCATCCATTGGTAGATATTGCGCGTCACATCGTCCACAAAACCAAACGTGGTAAGTGCTGGCGTCTGCGTGGCATGAAGTTCTGCAAACCCAGCAGCATACCCAGCGTGCTTGCTGTTAAGGTGGCTGAGGAGGTTGCTGTACCCCGTGCCGGGCGTCTGCTTCCGAGGAAGCCCACAGGATTTACACTCAAAGCGACCTTCACCGAGGTCGCTGAAGTAAAATTCACAGAGTTGACGGGAGGTCATCGTGGGTAGCGTGGTGGGTAGCGTGGCTAAGAGTGGTGGCTTGTTCTCTAAAGAGAAAATTGAGAAGTGGGGAGTGTGTGAATCAAAGCGCGCAGAGTGTATTTGCAAGGCAGTAGAGAACTGTTGGTTGTCAGTGCTCCTGGAAATGGTTGGAAGCGTGTAAAATATTGTATTATTGTGTACAGTTATGTATTATATTTATCTTGGAAAAATCAATAGTAAGTTATTCCGTAAATATAATACCCGTAATATTGTTATTATACTATTTTTCCCATGCCCTGGCATGGCACAAGGACAGCTCGACCACAAGGCGATAGCGATATGGGCTGCGATGCCAGGAGTTGAATACGTGCTGTGTGTCAAGTTCGATCCCGACTTTGCGAATGCTGAATACAAGCTGTACGATGCTCGCGTCAATCCACTCGTGCAACTAGCTCCACTTCCGATCGTCATTCCAAGAACGGTAATCCAGTTGGACGGGCGTCGCATCCTTGGTATTCCGTTGAGTAACCCGCAGTCTGAGAGTCCTACGTTAAAGACTGTCCAGATGGAGGGTTGGAAAGCCAGTGGGACATCCCTTGACAACATTTTCACCTTGTTAAAACTTGATAAGGTGGGAGATGACGTTCTTACGAGCCCGGTTTTTAATACTTGGGTTAGCTTTGGCAGCCTTCTCTACCCCCAATTTGCGTTTATTTTCGATCACTACGATGACATCCGTTTGTCCAGGATTATCGAGGCAGCTTTGAAAGTTGATAACCCGCCAGATTTCGCGAAAATCCTACAAGCAGAGCAATCCAAGCGCTGGCTTGACGGCGAAAAATCTGTTGATGACATTTTTACACTGCTGCGACTTAACAAGGCCGGGAAAAATACCGAAAATCTACTTGCTAGACCGCAGTTCAGCACTTGGGAGAAGTACCTTTATGATGTTCGGGCTGAGTATTCCGGCAAGAGACCACAAATAATCGACACACTGGCCAAGAGTTACGACGATAGCACG